CTTCCGCTTTCCTCTTTTGTAATGCAGTTGTGAGCTCGGGGTCTGTCCGCAGCCCAACATGACTGTACTCCTAATCTATAATAAAGAGACCTCTGTTGCTGTGATATTCTGTCATCCTGTGATAACAGCTCTATTTCCTGGGACTGGTATCGGTTAACAGGTTAATTTGGAGCGTCATGGGCTGGTTCCGTTCGGGGCTAGTTCGGGGCGTGACAGCGTGACTGGCCGAGTGACAGACGAGACGGTGACAAGCCACGCGTTCTCTAGCCAGGTGTCAGGCGGCGTGCGACAAATATGCCCTGTCATGTCAAGATGATGAGCGGCACAGTGCCTCATAACCATTCAGAGCCGGCTTGACCGCTCTGAACACACCGGGATGGCGTTCCCGGCGCATGCGCACCCAAAATCCACATCCATTAAATGGTGAATGACGGGGATACTCCCCGTGTCAGCCCGTGTCAGCCGACATAATTTGATGGGCCCCGCACGACAGCCGGTGCTCAGACGGTTTTCAAGCTGTAGCACAAGACACACATTTAATATAGAGAACATTTACCCCTTTATTGGATGGCACACCCGGTGTATGTGAGAACCCCTTGGAGTATAAAAGGAGGTTCGTGTCCAGTGAAGGGGGGGGGGGAGGAGGAGTATGAACTCCTAGCCCTTGCTTGTACACCAGAGATTCAGACACTTTCAAAGCTCAGAAAAATCATCATACACAGCAGTAGGGTATTACGCTTCTTAGCGGCCCGAACCTGTATAACCCCTTTAGTCTCACCCTCTTGATCAAGGGCCCGACCCCTAGGGTCATTTCCAATCTTCTCAGTTCCTCGATTTACACTCACTGCCCCCGGCCGAACTAACAAAGGAGGGGCCTCACGGTTCTCCGCTCGAGGAGTTCACCCTCCGACATTCATCATATTAATAGAAGAGAAAAAAAGAATAAAATAAATATATGATGCCAATACAAGGCATATAAATAACATATTTGGCCTCCTAATTTATTAAATAACAACAAGATTCATATATTAGCAGGCTCGTTGGAAGCTCGAGTTCGGCTCGACAAAGCTCGTGAGCTTTAGGAGAGGCTCGGGCTCAGCTCGTTTGAAGCTCGAGCCGAGCTCGAATCAAGCCTAGGACGAGTCGAGCTCGAGCAGCTCGCGAGTCTCGAGCTTTTTTGATAGCCCTAGGTGAATGTGATCGATCGACGCCGAGTCCATCCTGATACCTTGCAGGTGTGCTTCAGCTGACGACGATACCTTGGAGTAGTTTTTAATTGCTACAGCTTCTGATATGATCCCTAGCTCTTTCAGATACTACCTATGTTCTAAAATACGTATAAAATAAACTTATGTCATGTATTTGAAGCTAAAAGTTGCTATATTTTAACAAAGGGTAGTAGTTTAGTTTTTGGTTTAAATTTTGATAATAAAAACTATATAATATATGAAATATACTAGAATTTCAAAGCTTAAAAAAAATTCAATTTCTTCGCATTTTCATCTACTCTTTTTGAAAATCTCCAACTCTTCAGACATGACCTTTCGTGGTCCTGGATGTACGGCCGCGCTGACGCCGTACACTCCAATTAGCTAGGCATTCGTCAATCCCGATGATAAACTTGATCTAATCACCTTAAGGTACTACTACGACTTCCAGCCCATCTTGACATCTTCAGATATAAGCTGATCTCAACTCTGAAACTTGTTTAGATCGGCAAGGAATTCTTCAGACAGCCAACCTACCAGCTGCTATCTAGCTTAATTGGTCCTTCAATTACAACGTTAATTAATTATCGGTACCTCTCTAAATTATATCTGAAAACCAGATCAATGTACCACGGCAGAATCTCCAAAAGCTGATAACGAAGAAGTGATCGATCATCGAGATCGTGCGCCCTCCCCTCACACGTTGTCTATGATTCTGAACATCTGATCGGACGCTGACATGTTGTTGATCTATTGATTAGCTATATAGTTATCATTAGTATCACAAATATCTGTGTTACTTTGTGAGATAAAAGGAAAAGAGAAAGAGAGCTGGAGGAAGATATATATACTAGTACATCGAGTCTCATGGGTTTCATGATATTGTAGATTTGTAGTAATGATGCTCCTCTTCTCCCTTCTCTGCTGGACTTAATTTTTTCTTCAGCTAAAAGTGATGCCCCTGAAGAAACTTCCAGTTCAGCTTTCTCCTTTCTGGTGGTGAACATGTGAGCATCTTTCAGTTGGGCAGATCAAACTGAATGAAATGTAATGTAATCTTTGATCTTTCTACACTGCTAGTGGTGCTGTAAACATAGTTGGAAATTAAACAAGAGGTTGGAACAAAATTGGAGTTGGTAACTGTGGATAGGAGAAACGCCTAGGGGTTTTCCGGCTAGCTCCACAAGGTGGTGGGCTAGACGACCTGGGTTCGAAGTCTCACCCCTTCTAATTATTTGATATTAGGTCTTTCACTAATATTCGCGTAACTGTGAACCCTCACCCCTTCTAATTATTTGATATTAGGTCTTTCACTAATATTCGCGTAACTGTGGGTAGAAGTTACTGAAGGATAAGCTGTGTTAGTGAATGTCTAAAAGATGTCTTTTATCATTCTTTTTTCTGACTATGCAGTAGAGGAGCTGAAACACAGAAGAAGAAGACATTTGTGCATATGTAGTGGGTGAAATGAAGAATTTGACAAGAATTACAATCATGTGAGCTTGATTGCTACTAGACATTTGACAGAGTTGGTGAAGCTTGACAGTCTTTCATAACTTGCAAAATGCTATTATTCTCTCATGAGGAGTGTTGCTTGTATGCTAATCACATGTTTTGTTGCTTAATTAGTCTTTCCACCTTTGGACCACCTAAGTTGTCACAGGTAGTTTTCGGTATGCACAAGCAGCTCAAAAGTACTAAATATAACCGTTCTTTGATCCCATGTACATGTGAGCCAATCATTTTCAGCATTTCTAATTAGCAAATCCAACAACCATGATTTGGGGTGAGTCATGCACATGTACACCTACAACACTAACCTCTACAAAATTGTTTCTTTCCTCTCATCTTCAGGAAACCTAACCTTCACTTCTCTTCTCCTCCCTTCATTCTGGCATCAGTTAAGATCGATTCAGATTATCAAAACACAGAAATTAATCATGCCATCCCGGTCGTCTTAATCCAGAAAAATCATACAGAGGAAGAATTCAGCAGAGATCTGAAGATCCTTTTCTTTTTCTTTTAATTCTTGAGATGGGATCTGAATAATCCTTAATGCAGACATGAATGATGAGAGTAATCTCAATGAGATGTCGTAATCCATTTGTTTTTCTGCTTGGTTTGCATTGGTGCGAGCCATGTACGGCTCCAGAAAAGGCATTGACAAAGATTACCTCGAAGTCTGAAATTAAACACATAAACACGCGAGAGCATGCGAGTTCGTGGAGCCCCTTTCGAGCTAGTTTATCTGATCCTTTCCCGAGATGAGGATCCCAACAACCGAACGAGAGGCCAAGAACAGCAACGATGGCAGCATCAGCCGTATCGACTACAAAATCAAATGGTCATAATGTATAATTTTGTGTATGATGGATTGATAGGGATGCTTGCTTGCTGCCCACTAGCAGATGATTTGCACAAACTGTCATGTGCAGATAGATATATAAGAAAAAAAATTGAGCTAAGAAAATCCCGAGGTTTTCTGTAGCTATGACTATATAAAATGTTGTTTCATTAAAACAGCGATAATTTGTGATGAATGTACGTTTGCATAATTGATCTTTAATTGGTAAAGAATTAATATAAAAATGGACTTGTCCGTACGTATTTAATTACTGAGCAATACTTATTCTTTTAAAAACATGTAATCTTGGACATAGATCTTGTCAAACTTTTAAGATTTCCGAGTTTCGAGATATCGTTATTAACTATTCAGTTGTGAAAAATGCTTTCTGTGATACAAGGCCGTGACAATATATGATCTGTTATCATATCGCCGCAAAATCTCCCTGACCGGAACTTGAAAGCTCAGCATATTCATACCAAGGATTCAAAATTGAACGGCAGGTATGGTATTTTATGTAATGACAAACTTGTACCCCATCGGTTTCGAAACATAGTAAATTAGAATCGGATGGGACATATCCCAATATTATAAATCTGGAGATAAGGCATTCATTTGTTTTTAGATTACTATATTTTAGAGCGAAGGGAATACAAAATAAATGGCGTAGGTGCACAGCCCCTTTAATAAAAAAAAAGCACGGAAAGACTGAATGGCATACCCCAGTGCAATTATATCATATTTTAGTAAATATCAATACATTTATTTTCAACTTTTACAAATCAGAATGCATTTGTTTCTCCACTGTTATAAACTCTAATATAATGATGGCTTAATATACTGAATTGTTTTGAAATAAATAGTATGTAAAAGGTGGATTTATTTTGGAACAGAAGGAAGGAGTACTGCCACTATTATATACAGGAGAAATCTCTGTAGACACTACACTCCATTACAGTACACAGTTGCAACAGTTCTCCAGTACTTCCTCCTGCTGACACTGCTCTTCAGTCTTCGCTGTGCATCATTTGCAGATCGTCTGTTCCATCTATCGAAGACACGTACCATATGACTGCAGAATAAAAACATTATCTACTGGGCATGGAGGAACCCGTTTTTGCTGACCATTTCGCCTTCAGAAAAATCAGCACAATTATTATATATTTAAACTAGAGCTCATGTGATTTTTCTTTTTCAAGCTGAAAAAATCGTGTGAAGCTTCGTCCATCCCTAAATAAATTAAAAAATTTCTTGTGTTTTTTTTATGGTGCTTTCGGATGATCTTCTCAACCAACGTGCCACATTTTCGCAGGAGGGAGAAATTCTTTTTTTTTTGTCAACGGTCAACACTAACCACCAGCAACTGAAACTCTAATTTCGTCAAAAGATGAGGTCCTTTTTGCAAAAGAGAGTAGTAGCCACCAGAAGTATAAATTTTCGTATGCTTTTCCTGCCATTTCTGCCGCGCCATCTCTCTCTCTTGCGCCTTCTCCGACTCGGACTCCGACGAGCAGAAGCCGGCGGCGAGGTCTCCGGCGAGGGCGAGATGGGGTCGCTGATGTCCTGCATCTCCGGGCAGGCACCGTCGGCGTCGCCGCCGCCGGTGGCGAAGCGGCGGTCATCCGTGTCGTCGCGCCGCGGCGGCGGCGGCGGAGGCGCCAAGGCGGTGGCCATCGACGAGGAGGCGCTGGCGGCGGCGGCGGCGCTGGTGCTGGGGCAGAGGAGCTCGTTCGGCGGAGGCGGGGGTGGAGGCGGAGGCGCGTTCGAGCGGTCGGCGTCGGTGCGGTACGCGGCGAGGCGGCAGCAGCAGCAGCAGGGCCCGCCGCTGCCGAGGAGCTCCAGCACGCGCCCCCGCTCCCTCGCCGACCCGGAGCTCCACCCGCAGCAGCTTCTCGCCAAGGTATCTATCCCCTTCTCCTCTCTTGCGTCCCCGGGCTCGCACTGGCGTTGCGTGCGCGCGTGCGCCGCCGCGTGGAATTTTCGGCGCCGTACTCTTTTGACTTCTCCTGTTCTTCCCCCAATCTCGTCGTTGGGCGTACGGGAGCTTCGCGGTTGAAATCTCGCGTCTTCCTCGTGGCTCTGCGTACTCCTTTGGTTGCAGATTGCTCCTCCGCTTCTCATCTCCCCGATTCACTGTACTGAGTAGTACTGAACGGCTTAATTCGTCGATTTTTCTTCCTCTGATTTGGTTACCGTCTACCTGAATCGAGTCCGCTGCGTCCTTCCATCTCGCTCAGCTTGCTTCTATGGCGATTGGCAATTCGGAGTACCAACTGCCAAGTAATAGCAGTTGTGCTTCGCGGTGTGACACTGGCTGGCAAGTGGGGCCCACAAAGATGTAGGTCCCATGCGTCAGAGGGCCCAGGTTGCCGAAGTGAAATGAAATGAATGATCCATTGGATCAATTTGAGCAGGATGTGAAATGATTTCAGATAGTTACTACCTTTTCTTTGACTAGAGTTTCAGTTCTATCCTGGTTGGTGATGGCCTGCTGTTCCATCCAGAGAATCGCCTAATTCTTCGTAATGTGCATGTGGATGAAGTGGGATCAAAGAGAATTGCAATTATAATTTTCCTATCTACAAGAAAGATCTTTTAAGTATCTTTGGGACCCGATGAATCATTAGTCATGTGAACAGGTTGGACAACGACCTGACATTGATTTGGTAAAAGATTTAATAGCAAGCAGGAAATTTCAGTTGTGTGGGTGATAATAATACATATCTGGGTCTGTTTCAGAAGCCCTTTCATGGATAGAGGGCAGTTGAATTCGGTTGTTTTTTATTGTTTCCAGGGAAATTTTCTTGTCGCGTGCATTCATTTTTTGTAGAGTTTGGACAAAGGGTTAGCAGAACACCCAACCTGTGCAATGGTGGGGAATCCTGAATTTCTTTACTTCAAGTTGTTTTTAGTCCTGATACATTCGTGTTGTTCAGTTCTGTTGTTACCAGGATTGGCTTTGTCATAACTGGAAATGGCTGCTGGCGTGGAAAACTAAGCTATCGCGACTTTTATACCTGCATTAGTAACTAATAAGAAAATAAATCCCTAAGCTAATCTTGACTAGCAACTAGTAGTATGACTAGTAAGAACATACCAGCCTGCTAGGAAAGCACGGTTGACTGGGAAGTTTTTGTTTGATATTTTCAATGTCACCTGTCACTTGGTCAGTTAGTTGATGAAGGCGTATGATGGCAGTACTTGTACGACGAATTAGCACCTTGTTTGACTGTTCATTGGTCTCATTGTTTTTCTAGCACTTGTGACTTGTGAGACCCAGAAAAATATCAATCCCGCAGTTTCGACTTCAGAAAACTGGAAGTGCACATACACATAATAATTAGTTTTGTCAGCTCTTGAGCTTTTGTGTTTGATGATTCTACTATTGATGGACTTCATTTTTAAGTATGTTTTAACTTGGTTATCAGAACTCCATATTTTTCTTTTTAATCTCAGTTGCTGCTTGAGCAATACTGATGTTTCAATTTGTGTTTGTCCTGTTGCATAATGTTCAGTCTCTGTTACGTGCATGTAATCACTACCACACTAACCAAAGGAATGCTTCTGAAACAGGATTTGAACACTAAAGATCTTGAAACCAACATCATTGTTCTTGTTCATGGAGGAGGTTTTGGTGCTTGGTGTTGGTACAAGACTATAGCACTTCTTGAGGATAGTGGGTTCAGAGTCAATGCTATTGACTTAACAGGTTCCGGGATTCATTCGTATGATACAAACAAGATTAGCAGTCTCACGCAGTATGCTGAGCCGCTTACATCTTACCTTAAAAGCCTAGGTGACAACGAAAAGGTTTGCTCTCTTCCATGTATTGATTCATGATGAGTTTGCACCATTGAAATAAGTGAACTTCCATTTCGGAGTATTTTAGTAGGCTATTACTAAGTGCTGTTTTACCCCTAACCAATTTCTATTGTCTATGCTGAATACTCTTTATGTCTTGAGTTTCTGACATTGCACTACAGCTTAGATAAAATATGCAAATAGGGGTCATAGTTACTTAGATTTTAGGTGAAATCCTGGAGAGAGCCCTGCTGAAATGGTTGCTCATTTCTTGTATCTTTGAACTTTACACATAATGGTAAATATTAATGTCTCCAGAAGCTCATAAATTTATATTACCAATGTTTGAACATGCTAATTCTAAGGACTTGGGTGTTTCATACAGGTCTCTGTAGCACCCTTTAGCCTGTAATGGTACATTTTACTCTGTGGGGATCATAATTCATTAGAGAAGTTTTGACACTGATGCAATTAGTTTCATGGCTATGTTTCAGAGCTTTAGCATCACTAAGTAGGTCCAATTGTAGTAATTTGAAGCTGGCTACTGCCTCACTATACTTCAATGTCTTTCTCAAATCTGATGATGGATAGGACGTTTATCATTTCTAATGGCTGCCAGAATATTCCTGTGCTATTCTGTGCATATGCCTCATGTTTTCTTGCAATTGTTTGAAATATTTTTGTTGGCACTAATGCTGATATTCTAAAGCAGCATAGGATTATTCTTCGAATAGATTTTTAATGTATAGTTCGATAAACATCAGAGTCCCTGTAATAATATGCATTTTGATTCTTTTGTTATTACACAGGTGATTTTGGTTGGACATGATTTTGGCGGTGCTTGTATATCCTACGCAATGGAGATGTTTCCATCAAAAGTTGCGAAGGCTGTTTTCCTTTGTGCAGCAATGCTGAAAAATGGGCATAGTACTCTTGATATGTTTCAACAACAGGTTCATTTCTATCACAGCATCAACACAATTTTAAAGATAAAAGGAATAGAGCCAAAGTCTTCTGCATTAAAATTTATTTGAATGACAATACACTAATGCCTGTTCATTCTACCCATACAACACAGATGGATACAAATGGTACACTCCAAAGGGCGCAGGAATTTGTATATTCCAATGGCAAGGAGCAGCCTCCCACCGCTATCAATATAGAGAAGTCTTTACTGAAACATTTGTTGTTCAACCAAAGCCCCTCTAAGGTAGGTCTTGTTCAACCATCCCGATCATATCATGAAATCCTAGTTTTTTCAGAATTGGGTTCTAACAGTACATCATTGTGTTCTTGATTCTTGAAGGATGTATCTTTGGCTTCAGTGTCCATGAGACCTATCCCCTTTGCTCCTGTGCTGGAGAAGCTGGTCCTAACAGAAGAGAAGTACGGATCGGTGCGGCGATTCTACGTCGAAACCACAGAAGACAATGCCATTCCACTTCATCTTCAGCAAGGTATGTGCGACATGAACCCGCCCGAGAAGGTTCTTCGGTTGAAAGGCTCGGATCATGCCCCATTCTTCTCCAAGCCACAAGCTCTGCACAAGACCCTTGTAGAGATAGCAACCATGCCACCAGTCAAGGCATCATGAGAGCTGGGGTTTCTCCCTTCAGGTTTCAAGGCTGGTGACTGGCTGATTGCCATTGTTGTGCAGTTGCTTCTTGTATGTAATATGTTGAGAATGGGGGTGTAATGCTTGAGCCAAGATGTTATGGCTTGGAGGTCGTTTATACAGGATGTTTGTCACAGAGGCTCACTGCGTAGCAGCAGAGTAGGGGAGCTCTGATTTTCTATACATGGTGAATCACATCCTCCCAGTGCAGACTGACCTGGAGAAATTGCTAAGATGAAAGATGACGTCGAGAAAATTGCTAGATGAAAGCTGATGAAGTTCCTTTCATCCTTTGTTGTGTTGATCTTTGTCATCTGCTGTTACCATCAACAATTGATGCATGCATATACAATATAAGTAACTTTTCAAATTATATTAGCGGAAATCATGTTAAATCGGCATAAAGGTTGTGGGGCGGCTGATTGGCGTATCTGCACCGGATGTGGGTTTAAATAAACGGAGCTAGCTAGGTGGCACTGTAGCTCATGGACCACTTAAGATTTGACTCAAAGTTAGAAGAAGAGAAGAACAATAGTAGATATATTGCCTAACATGATTACATGATAAAAAAACATAGTGAATCACCTTTTCTCTTCTAAATTCTAGCTACACCACTACCGAGCTATGAAGCTTGGCTTTGCATGCGTGGGCCTATTGGGCCTTATTGGCCTAATAGGTAAAGAACATTTTTTAAAGTATTTTCCAGTTAAGTGATTTAGAATAATTGAAGTTATCCAAAATTTGTGTTTCAAAAGTTATTTTTATAGATTTTTATTTTTTTATTTCAATTTTTAGTCTGTTTGAAATACTTTCCAAATTCGAATAATTTATTGTAATAGAATTTTTCAACTTAAAGTTTCATTTTGAATTTTAAAAAAATCGAATACTTTTTTCTAAAGATCTAAAACTTTCAACTTAAAATTTTTAACTTCCAACCTAATTGTTTTTAAAATCTACCAAAAATTTGAAAGTTTTTTAACTCGAATTATGAAACTTTTTAGTCTAGATTTAAAACGTTCAACACCACATTTTTAAACTTTCAACTCAACTATTGTCCAATTAATAAGTTTAGCGCTAAGAGCGTCTTAGAGACATGCACGGGCCACGGGGTGCGCGACCTGCGCCCCTGGATGGTGCCTGGTGGGCTTTAGCACAATCCACCAAGGAAGAGCAGGCCGTCCTTTACAGGCTGGGCCGCTTGTGGACACCGGGTCCTCAAGAAAGATCCTGACCGTCCATTCTCATGCCCTACGATCGGACAGCCGTTAATTATGCTCTTATTTTCTTTTTCGTGGAAGTAGCAGTAAATTTAGAAATAAATTTAGGATCGAAATAACCGAAATTTCAAACATATTGGATATAAATAGTAGTTACATTCACTCAATAGTTGCCATTTGGTAGTAGATTTTTTTTTTTTTTTGCTTTAGGACATTCATAGTTTTCTAGATATTACTTTGCCCAATAATGTATAATCTATGTATCTATACATATTGTAACAATATTATGTTTGTGTAAGTATTTTTTTATGCAACTCTATGGTCTATACATATAACAATTTTCATGTATTTGTACCCTATACTATTTAACATGTTAGCAGTGGTGGTGTCCATTCCCATACCACCCCTAGCGCTGAAATTTGGACCTCACATTCTATACTATTACACCATTTTTTAACTAGTCATCTCCTATTTTATTATTGGCTCTATTCAAATTTTAAAATCACCTACTTGTTTAATAAAAATTATAGTGCTACTTGGATTAAATGAGTGCTTATTAATTGATTTATAAGGTAGAAACTCAATTTTTTTCCATTGTAACGCAGGCCCTCTAGGCTAGCTAGTCCAGTTAAACATTAATTTGAAGAGATATACAGTTGAGTGCTTGCTTTATGTATCTTTTGGAGGTACTACATACATGATTACATAAGTTGTTCAAAATAAACTGATAAGCAGATTGGCAATGGCAGAGCTTGAATTAACAGAAGGACAGGGGGTTCAATCTGATGTATTAATATGGGCCAATGTGGGTTGCGAATGCAGCTTTGCTTCAGATTAATTTTTATGAGGAAAATTGTAGTGTTTTGCTTCTCAAACCGCTCCTGTCTTCCACTTAGACTTGTAATTTCACTTCTGACTTTTTCGATGTTTCTCTGTACCAGTACCTGTGCGATCTAAACAATTGTGTCAGTATGTAGTGAGCAGCCTTAACAAAACTGTTATCACAGTGTGACACATTATAATTGTCTTCCTTTCCTGAGTATATGTGGTCTTTTGGTTTGAATGTAGATGTCAGATTTAATTCATTTCTAAAGAAAATGTGGTCTTCTAGCAACAAGCTAGTTGAGAAAGATGGTGAATTAAAGCTAATTTTCAATCTCTCAAGAAAGTAAACCATATGATCATCCATAATTTCCTCTTAATACGATGATATAAATCTCCACTTAAGCTTCTAAATATACCATTAATTATTTATGAGTACTCATTTTTTGTTTCGGCCAATTCATAGCCGCTGCTACTCATTATTTATGAGAGTATATATAGCTAGCTTGCATCTAGTGATATGATCGAGCTAGCATTCGAGCCACAGCTCAAAACGAGGCCAAGATCATACGCGTCGCCGGATCATTCCCACACGTGTGAGAATTGAACCCAAAAAAAAAAGAGTACGGTATTTGCTAGTGCAGCTAAAAGCTACGAATTGAATATGATATCGATATTGTGTAGAGTATGGACGATACATGGAATCTCATCTCATCTGATCATCATGATCTCCTGGATGAAAATACAATGTACATGAATAGAGAGAGGGCTTTTGGTTTTGGGTGGAGAAATGGAGCAACACTCCTTGACATTTGAGCCCCATCTTATAATATGAATTCAATGAAAAAAAATGGAAAGGAGAATAGAGCCACGTGGCAACACCGACTTCGCGGAAGAGGCTCGACGAAACGATCTTGTGCGTGCGCGTGCAGCGATCTAGGAACGCTCTTGCGTGCGTGAGTGCACGGGCCACCGGGTGTCCAGAAGTTTCTTCGTGAATATATCGATCGAGCAATTAGGCCCATGGACCATGGCTCAGCAGGCCGTGCGATGGCACAAGAACATGTTGGGTGATTTAGGCCTTGTTTAGTTTCTAAAACAAAAACTTTTCACCCATCACATCGAATGTTTAGAAATATGTGTGGAGTATTAAATGTGAAAAAAAAACTCAATTACACAGTTTGCATGTAAATTGCGAGACAAATCTTTTAATCCTAATTGCACCATGATTTGACAATGTGGTGCTACAGTAAACATTTGCTAATGATGGATTAATTAGGCTTAATAAATTCGTCTCGCGGTTTCCTGACGGAATCTATAATTTGTTTAATTATTAGACTACGTTTAATACTTCAAATGTGTGTCCGTATATTCGATGTGACAATCAAACCCAATTTTTTTCCCCAACTAAACAAGCCCTTAGAGAGACCAAACTTTACATGGATGAAATGAGATATTACGCATACATGTAGGATGTTCTATATGCAAACACCCGTTGCATGCTGATCGATGCATGAACTTTCACATTCAGTGGTCCGTACTCCCTACTTTGTACGCACAGCTCCGATTAATTATCACTTTCCTCGTTCCGCATTATAAGATATTTATTAAGCCCTTCAATCCCTCATCTAGATTCCCTAATATCCATATGAATTTAAACACATATATGAAACACATACGTTGATCCATGTATATTTTTTTTTCAAAACCCAAAACGTATTATAGTATGAAACATAAATTTATTCAAAACCTAAAACATCTTATACACATACATTGATGCATATATGAATTTATTAAAACCCTAACAAAATAGAAATTTGTTCAAAACCCAAAAGATCTTCTATCCGATTGTTACCCCACCGGGCCCACGCCTAGGCTCACTAAACCATACGTGGCTTTTGCCATGCGCATGCGCTTTTCTAGTAATGTTAAAGTCCTAGCTTGACAGTATTTGACATCGGAAGAAATTGATGAACTGTGTTTCGAACTAGTTCCACCATTTACTCTTATAGCTTATTGTACGTAGCCAAAATTTAAATTTTTAAATTTATTTTTGGGTTTTGTTCCATCGTACTTTACTTTTTTTTTCAACATTTACTTTTAAACCACAAATAACACACTATAACATCATATATATATATATATATATATATATATATATATATATATATATATATATATATATATATATATATATATGCCTCCTGATTAAAACCCGGAAATATGATTTTTGTATTTAAATGTGTCCTATTGATCTCCTATGCTAAATGAATCGTGTTTTAGGCTAGATATCTTTTAAGATGTTACTAATTTCTAATATTTAACCAAATTTTATCATAAATTCTAAATATTTATGACATAAGATAGAGTAGTTTGATATAGACAAGTCAAACCCACGTGGGATAAGTGAAAGACACATGAGTCAAGATAAACTGTGAAATCAATAAAGGGCCAAGTTTTACGTGATTATCAGAGATGATAGCGGGTTTTACTAGGTTAGGCATAGAGAAAAAAGAATTATACGATATATGTAACAGTTTTCAAAGATTCTTTTTATCAAAATTTATTTATTCTATTTAATTATATATATATAGCTCAACTTGTATTATCGCTACCCGTCAATAACATTGCTCATCGCAATAACCAAGCAGTTATCGCCGATAAAGTTACAACCCTAGTTAAGAGACAATTAGCCGTAGAATTTCACTCTCTTTTTGTCCACACCACTTCCATCAAACCTTAATTTGGCATCTCAATTGAAAAGTTAATAACCTCTCCCTTTTTTTCTGCATGCGATGCGTTGCTACATTGTACATATATACATCTATAGCAAGTTCAATTGGCCCGACCGTTACGTACGTAGAGATCGTAATAATTAACGCACAAAGACACAAAATGGAGGGTACAGTTAACCTATATATCCAGCATCCAAGCAGCTGGCTGGCCTGGCTATCAACCACAGCTGACACTAACAGCTAAGCTAGCTAAAAGCAGCCACCGGCGAACCGAAGGTTAACCGTACGTCGGCGTCGCGGTCTCGCGGAGAGCCCTGAGAATGTAGAGAAACCGATCACCGATGTATTATTTTCCTATTATGCACATACAATTTCAGTTCTTACTTGATTCAAAATTGTTTACTGCGGCTATGTTTTACGGTGGATAGATGTGATTACATTTTTTTTATATATTTGCTCTTTTGTTTTGAAAAAGAAAATCTTTTGCTTACTAAATTCTATAACTCTTTCGGTGGAAGGCGACGTACCATTGATAGCGAGACGTGTAGGAATTTCGTTAATCCTAATACATGTTGACCTTTTCTCTAAGATGTGGTTATAGGAGTATAAGGTCTGTATATATTCATAAGGGGTGAGTATGCTTTCGTATATGAGTATATGCATTTGTACTATGTTTTTTTTTAAAAAAAGTGGAACATTAATTCCTCGTGATCAAATGTGGGACATTGACTGACATATGGATTTAATAATTATTTACTTGTCCACAAATAACTTACCTTGTCATTTTTACTGGAGGTAGATGAACTCAAACCATTATTTATAAATAATCTTTTATAAATGTCGGTTCCGTACAAGCCATACGCTACAGTTTCACGTCTTAGGAGATGTTAGCTTTTTTTGCATGCTTGACTTCACGTGAGGAAATGCATGAGTTTTATAAATGTATCGTACAAGTTACAGGTTATAAATGTTTATTGTTTTTGAAGCGGTTAAATTAAACCACGTAACGACTAAAGTAAGTTGCACAACTAAGATTTGCATGCACACAATTTGACTTGTTCCTTTAATGGTGATACATAAAAAAAAATCATCTGCCTTACCCATGATGAAAATAATTAAACCACATCTAAGAAAGAGTAGGGATTATAATGCTATGCAATTGAATTGGATTGTTCAAATTCTAAATCAAACTGTTCCACTTCTATCTACATGACCTCTTTGTATAAATTTTATCATGGTGAAATAGTAGCAAGGTGGCTAAATTAACATAGGCTGCTAGGGAGGTCGAGTGAGGGGTATATAGAGAAAGGTCGAGGAGGAGGTAGATCATTGCGGTGGACGACATGGAGATGATCCCTTCTAAACTCTAAACTTGTTTCAATCATATTCTATATAGTGAAAGTATCATCTTTTAAGGAATCGAAAGGTTGGTCTCTTAAAAAAAAGTTTAAGATACCACCACTTTTCATGAAATTTGACTGAATGATGTGCTCTATATCAAATATTTGCATATATATGTCCCAAATCAAGACCACATATGGCAAGTGAACAACACACGAGTAGTTCAAAACAACCACGGAGTCAGCGGAGGACCAACTTACACGTGATTACAGATAGAAAAACGAGTTTTACTAGGTTTAGATAGAGTGAAAATTTTCTTTTATAATGAATCTCGACAGACAGTTAGTGGCGCAACACACAATTTAAGAGACAATCAACAATAGAATTTCACACTCTTTTTTACCCACACCACTTCACTTCCATTATCGTAAAACCATGATTTGGCATCTCATCAACTAAAACGTTAACACCTCTCCCCTTTTCCCGGCGAACTGCTCGCCTGGCCGATGCATGCAACCCGTTGCTATACATTGTACAGTACATCTATAGCAAGCTAGCTTCCACTGCTCTGCCGTTTCAATTCGCCTGTAACGTCCAGACCGTAATAACGCACAAAGGCACAAAAATGAAGGCCAAATGGCCAATTAGCTAGCTGTCCTGGATTAGTAGCTGCCACAGTCCACAGCTAAGCAGCCACCGGCAAACCGAAGGTTAGCCGTCGGCGTCGCGTCTGGTACGATCGAGCCCTGAGAACGTGGAGAAACTGATGTGATTATTTCCTACTCCATGTATATGGACATATAATTTCAGTTCTTTCTTGATTCAAAAATTGTTTGGTGGTGTTGTGTTTTACGGTGGATAGAGGGTTACATATATTTATATTTGTATTTTCTTGTTTTGCAAAAAAAAAACTCCCTCCATCCCAAAATATAACAATTTTAGGGTGGATGGGACGTACCATAGTATTATGAATTTGGACATAACCCCTATCCAGATTCATAGTACTAGAATATGTCCCATCTACCCAGAAGTTGTTATATTTTGGGACGGGAGGAGTATTTCTTTGCTTATTAAATTATGGAATTCTTTCAATAGTAAACGATGTACGTACCCTCAAGAGGGAGATGCCTGTAGTGATTTTGTTGATTTCAAGATACGACAACTCACTCGGTCGAAGGTGCTTATAGGGGTAGGATTTGCATGCTTTAATAAAAGTGAGTGTGTCTACATATATAAGCGTCTACATTAGTTACTATTTCAAAAAAAAATTGAGACATTGACTGACACGTGGATTTACTTAATTATTTACTTGTTCACATATAATTTAGCTTGTCGGTTTTTCATTGGAGGTGGATTAACTTGGACCGTTATTTATTAAATAATCTTTATTTAGAATATGTTGGTTCCGTACACATATGGTTTAACATCTTACCAGATGCTTTACGTATACTTGATTTCTACGTGAGGAAATACATGAGTTTCATATATTTATAATTAATGTATCGTACAAGTAGCATGTATGAACCGTTTAATGTTTTTGTGGCGGTTAAATTAAACCACATAACGACTAAAAGTAAGTTGCATTACTAAGATTTCGCATGCACATAATTTGGCTTGTTCCTTTGATAGTAATACTTAAAAAAAACATTGATCGTCATCTGCCTTACTCATGTTGGAAATAACTAAATTACATCTAGAAAAGATAAGAGCGTTAAATACTATATAATTTAATTAGGCCATTCAAATCTAAATCAAACTGTTCCACTTCTATCTATATCTATATGACCTTTTTGAGGCAAGTTGTCGCATGGTGAAGATAGTAGCAAGGTGGCTAAATTTACATAGGTGGTCAGGGAGGAGGAGTTTGTCAACAATAGGGTATAGAGGAAGGTCGAGGAGTAGGTAGATTGTGGTAGAAGATATGGAGATGCTCCCTTCTAAACTAGTTTTAATCCTATTCTATATAGTAAAAATATCCTCTTTTAAGGAATTGAAAGGTTGATGTCCAATTCATAATATTTGATTGAATCATGTCCTATATATTAAACATTTATGATAAGATTTTTTTAAAAAAAATACACAAGAAGAGCATCTTTGTATTAAGAGAAGTAAAGTTTATTTACAGATAAAACGAAAAATGTTTTACTACCTCTCTTCTAAAAAGACTTTATTTTCTTTTACCATGAATATACACAGTACTTAAAGAAACAACTCGTTTATTACCACAACACTCTACCATCAACCTTTGATTTGGCATCTCAAATAAAAAACGCTAACCTCTCCCCTTTCCCTGGGCGCCTCTTGGCCGCTGCATGCAACCCGTTGCTAGTACACTGTGTACTGCTCCATCTGTAGCAAGCTTTCACTGCTCTTCCGTTTCAATTTTGCCCGTTGAATCCGTCGAGACTGACCGTAATGACGCACAAAGCCAAATTAGCTAAGCTGTGTCCTGCCTAAGTAGAGTTACTACCACAGCTAAGCAAGCATCGATCACAGCCACCGGCGAAATGAACGGAATTAAGGTTAACATGCAGTCACCGGCGAGATGAGTATCCTGAGAACTTGGAACAAACCGATGCAAATCTCTCTGGCCCCAACTGGCCATGGCCATGAATTCGTGCTCGATTCCGTGTCATTTTGCAGTAGCCACACAAGAGTTTCGGTTTTTATTCCAGCCTTTTTTTTGCTTTGGTTTTTGTACTAGCTAGCTAGTATTATGAGACTTTGCAAAGGCGCCATACTATGTGTATTGCAATTCAATGCAGTTTTTTTTCTGCTGCATTTATATTTCAGTTTTAATTTAGCGCCACATTTTGTTGCTTTCCTACGTAAAGCCTGGACGCAGTTAACACAGCAGCTAGCTTGCTAGCCTGTGACACAATAGCAACAGCTGGTAATTGTAACTGAAAATTTCTGTTTCAAAGAAGAAAAAAAAAGAGGTATAACTGGAGAAAAAAAAGCCTGGACGATGGTTTTAATCTTGTTAGGTGTGACTTAATTACCGAATACACACCAAAGATTGAATGAACACTACATGACAGTGTCTTCCTGTGACAGGCGTTGAAATCCCTATTATGGAGATGGTTTTCTTCCTTAATTCGAAAATTGTTTGGTGCCGTCAATTAGTGAAATTGTGGACATGTTTTACGGTTGACAGAGGATTACATGTATTTATGTTTTATATTTTCTTGTTTCACAAAAGAATATATATTTCTTTGCTTACTGAATTGTGGAATATTTTCGGAAAAAAAATACGGGACATTGAGTAATCGACGTGAATATCTAATTAATTATTTACTATCTCCGTGCACGAGTAACTTAGCTTGTCGGTTCTGACTGAGGTAGATGTCCTTTAGCTGTTAATTTTTTTAAAAAGCATTTCTCTTTTTTAATGTCGGTTCCGTACAAGCTATACACGTGGTTTCATGTCTTGGCGCTTTATCTTCGACTTCGACGTAACAAGCTGCATGAGTTTTGTGCACGTCTTTAAATGTTATAGTACGTTTCATATTTGAACCGTTACGGTTCTGAGGCAGTTAAATTAAACCACGTAACGACTAAAGCTGAGTTGCATGAGTAAGACCCCACGCGCACGTCATTTGCCTTGTTTATCTAGTGGTAATACCTAAAAGAACCGCCAATCAACCGCCTTACTCATGTTAAAAATAATTAAATTTTATCGAGGAAAGATGAAAGATAAGGGTGCTATGATACTTTATATACAATTTAATTAGACCGCAAATCCTAGATCGAGGTGACGCCACTCTATATCGTTCCACATCCGTCTATATGATATCTTTATATGTATGTCGTTCCACATTCTTATATACTCCCTTCCCTCTGGTTAGTTCCATTTTGAACTAACCAACATCAAATTTAAAAAAAACAGTGGTATCATGATATTTTTTAGGTTTAAGTTAGATTGAACGGCATGGAATTGAAATGTTGTTCTCTTAATTTTATTTTACACTATCACACCATTACAAATTCCAAACTCTTGTTCTAAACAGGCACCATCTTTTTCAGTTACATCTACACTAATTTCAATAGTAATGCCATTATTATGTAGTCCTATATTTAAGGAAGAAACTAATGATATATACGCAGATATTGTTAATAATGACCCTTTGATTACGCTATCATTACTGACAATGACATGTGGGGCTAGAGTGTCAGATAATTGGAGGTCCAAATTTTTGGAGTGGCAAAATGGTCTATTTAAAGCACCAGGTGTTTATTAGCTTCTCTCCACGTCTTCTTCCTCCCAAGAAAACTCCTCTCACTTCGCGAACGCTTCCCATGGCGCTCTCCTCCATGGCCGCGGCGCAAGAGAGCTCCCTCCTCCTCTTCCTCCTCCCGACGTCGGCCGCCTCCGTGTTCCCGCCGCTCATCTCCGTGGTCGTCCTCGCCGCGCTCCTCCTGTGGCTCTCGCCGGGTGGCCCCGCGTGGGCGCTGTCCCGTTGCCGTGGCACGCCGCCGCCGCCGGGCGTGGCGGGGGGCGCGGCCAGCGCGCTGTCCGGCCCTGCCGCGCACCGCGTGCTCGCCGGGATTTCGCGCGCCGTCGAGGGCGGCGCGGCGGTGATGTCGCTCTCCGTCGGCCTCACCCGCCTCGTCGTGGCGAGCCGGCCGGAGACGGCGAGGGAGATCCTCGTCAGCCCGGCGTTCGGCGACCGCCCCGTGAAGGACGCGGCGAGGCAGCTGCTGTTCCACCGCGCCATGGGGTTCGCCCCGTCGGGCGACGCGCACTGGCGCGGGCTCCGCCGCGCCTCCGCGGCGCACCTCTTCGGCCCGCGCCGCGTGGCCGGGTCCGCGCCCGAGCGCGAGGCCATCGGCGCCCGCATAGTCGGCGACGTCGCCTCCCTCATGTCCCGCCGCGGCGAGGTCCCCCTCCGCCGCGTCCTTCACGCCGCGTCGCTCGGCCACGTCATGGCGACCGTCTTCGGCAAGCGGCACGGCGACATCTCGATCCAGGACGGCGAGCTCCTGGAGGAGATGGTCACCGAAGGGTACGACCTCCTCGGCAAGTTCAACTGGGCCGACCACCTGCCATTGCTCAGGTGGCTCGACCTCCAGGGCATCCGCCGCCGGTGCAACAGGCTAGTCCAGAAGGTGGAGGTGTTCGTCGGAAAGATCATACAGGAGCACAAGGCGAAGCGAGCTGCCGGAGGCGTCGCCGTCGCCGACGGCGTCTTGGGCGACTTCGTCGACGTCCTCCTCGACCTCCAGGGAGAGGAGAAGATGTCAGACTCCGACATGATCGCTGTTCTTTGGGTAAGTCTCCTCGTCGTCGTCTTCGTCGTAAAGCTTGAGAAGGAAACGTCCATGGCGTTTTCATGGATTGGTTTCTTGTTTTTTTCTTCAGGAGATGATCTTTAGAGGGACGGACACGGTGGCGATCTTGATGGAGTGGGTGATGGCGAGGATGGTGATGCACCCGGAGATCCAGGCGAAGGCGCAGGCGGAGGTGGACGCCGCCGTGGGGGGACGCCGCGGCCGCGTCGCCGACGGCGACGTGGCGAGCCTCCCCTACATCCAGTCCATCGTGAAGGAGACGCTGCGCATGCACCCGCCGGGCCCGCTCCTGTCGTGGGCGCGCCTCGCCGTGCACGACGCGCGCGTCGGTGGCCACGCCGTCCCCGCCGGGACGACGGCGATGGTGAACATGTGGGCGATCGCCCACGACGCCGCCGTCTGGCCGGAGCCGGATGCGTTCCGCCCGGAGCGCTTCTCGGAGGGGGAGGACGTCGGCGTGCTCGGCGGCGACCTCCGCCTCGCGCCGTTCGGCGCCGGCCGCCGCGTCTGCCCTGGCAGGATGCTGGCGCTCGCCACCGCCCACCTCTGGCTCGCCCAGCTGCTGCACGCCTTCGACTGGTCCCCCACCGCCGCCGGCGTCGACCTGTCCGAGCGCCTCGGCATGTCGCTGGAGATGGCGGCGCCGCTCGTGTGCAAGGCCGTGGCTAGGGCCTGAGCCCTAGCCGCCGCCGCCGCCATTATTGCCATTGATGTGGCTAGCGACGTTGTCGTGCTCGCATCCATACTCCTCCATAGGCAACTCGTCTAGCCAATGAAGAAAGCTACTATCTATCTATCTATCAAGCTAGCTGCTACTATCACAAACCGCATTTCGGCATCATCTTAAATTAGCTCTTAGGGGTGTAGGCGATTTTGGTTTCCCCCAAAAATTTGCTTTGCCAGTCTTTTGGTTTAAATCGAGGCATTAGTTGTGAAACATCATGAGAAGTTATTTAAATCTGAGGAATTTTGTTTGAACCTTTTCTGGTGTGCTAAATGGATCGTGCTTTGAGTATCTTATTATTCTGAATGTGTTATGTAGCTACACTCTCCTGAATCATGTGTTAACCATGCAATATTTCTCCAGTTGGCTGTCAGTTTATCAGCGTCTTGTGAATGCCGTTCATGAGAAATCTGACCATCTTCCAAATGGTTTCATCAGTTTGCTGTGATAATTAGGTTATGTTTCATGTCAGTATTATCTCTGCATTGTGTTTGTTTTATACAAGTATACTGCAACATATATAACCTTTGTACACCATGCTAGTACTGTGACATTTTCAGGTTGCATTTCTTTCCTTTTAAGACTATGAAAGATTGCGTTATGTAACAAACATTCTATTCTTCTAATATATTGACGTGCAATCCTTTTGCGCGTTCGAGAAAAAAAAAAAAGACTATGAAAGATTAAGTTACTGAACTTCCACTAAGTATATGGCCATATGGTCTAACCTATCTCTAGAGATTAGTCACAAATCTGTTTTGTTTTGTCAAGTTGATATCCTTTTTTCTTTCTGAATGAAATCAAGATTATGTCCTTGGAACTGCATTTTGATGCTGGTCTGCATTAGGCTAAATCTCTGAATCTAGAGCCATTGCATGCTCTTGCCTGTTGCCTAATTGTAGTGCTCCGAGCATCAGATTCATGTCAGCATCAAAACTTGCTTCTTATTTCTTATCGTCGACTCATCCTTGATCAATGTGGCCAACAAAGATTTGTGAGCGCTAAGTTGCATCCACGTGTTGATCATGCATATAAACGCAAATGGGTCATTTTCTGGAATCAAGAGGATTTGGCCAACTCGCTTTTCGTTGTCACAAGGTCTACTACTAGGGTCTCATCCAAAAGATTCAACCTAAGAAGATTTGATAGCAATGTGCTGTTGCTGTTATGTTAAGATTGTTAGGATCACAATCTGTTTACAGCATTACATCCTGACAGCCATTCTCAGTGGGACTGGAAGTACAAAACGTGGTGTTCAGAACAGTAATTTTCAAGGTAGAGATTGCTGATATATATGAGAATAATTTCTTGGCTATCATATTAATGTTACCAACACAAGGTTTGTACCTTAATCTTCATAGATTTTTCATGGTGACTCGCTCATGCTAGTCATGACTTGATGAATATGCAAGGAGCAGTCTTCAGGGATGTTACTGTCAGACAGGGCCAGGCATCTGAAGACCATCTGTCTAAGTGACAGGAAATCTTCAGGCTTCAGAGAACAGTCAAGATTCACTTAATTAAGATGGCCTGTGGCTGATCTAGGTAGTCATTAGTCAACCAAATTTCTTCATGTTCCTTTTCTTTTCCTTCCTATCTTACACTAACATAGTAACATCCAGACAGTCACGTATCCTCCTCCTTTGTGTTATGGTGAGACTAACTGTGTTCTGGAAGGTGTGAAATCCCTCACCAAAATGGCTGAAGAATTGAGAATTCAGAAGCCATGGCAGAAGTGATCATGTGCATGATGAATTGATGATAATATATCAGGGGGCCCTCATCTGGTCATCTCACCTGCCTCTCTCTTTTCTCTTTTTCTGAGACCCAAATCTTGCATAAGACTTCTGTGATTAGACAGGAATCTTGTATCCTTTCCCCCTATGGAAAGAAGCCTCCATTTTGTGATATATGGCTCACATTTTTATTCCTGATCAGGGGCAAGATCACAAAAAGGTGCTTCACTGTTGACCCATCACTACCACTTTTGTGGATTTGCTTGATGGCGTGATGCATAATTTCTCTATAGTCAAAAGTCAAGCATATTTTGATAGTGGTTGAGAAAGTACCGTGAGGTAAAGTACCTTATGCTATATCACAAGTCCATAACACCGGAAACATATAGGATGAGTTTTTTTCTTAACTTTCCCAACTCACATCTCTCGTGTTACCCGCGCACGTATTTTAAACTGCTAAACGATATATTTTTTGCAAAAGTTTTCTATACGAAAGTTGCTTTAAAAAATCATATTAATCCATTTTTCAAAAAAAAGCTAATACTTAATTAATCATACGTTAATGAGTTCCTCTATTTTACGTGCATCAAGGATTAGTTCCCAACTGTGTATGCCGAACACAGCCATAGTTCTCAAGACACGTAAAAAACATAATAAACATAATAACTTTTTTGAGAATCTCTACCTTCTTGAATAATCTAAATTATTGCCTATAATTCAGCAGCCAAACGCTAAAAAACTTAGACTTTTCAGATCCTCAGAAGTTTGCTACTCACCATCTACTTCATACAATCTCGAGCTCTCTTAAACAGGGCCTCAAGGATAATTTTGCCTCCAAAGCCTCAAAAAGATACCCAAATCCTCCTCATGGCGACCTTTTGTCAACTCTTGGAACAGAGAAAATGGTCAGGTCGTTTGTCACACGATCAAACAAAGTAGAGAGAAAGAAAAAAGAAGGAAAGAAAGGATGGGATTGGGTTGTTTTTCCCCTGGACAGAAAAAGAACAGGGCCCAGCCCAACTACCACGACGGCACGACCTGAATTTGTGGTTAGCTGTAGATGTTTTCATGGCACACCTTCCACGTGCAAACTTATATATATATATATATATATATATATATATATATATATATATATATATATATATATATATATATATAGAGAGAGAGAGAGAGAGAGAGAGAGAGAGAGAGAGTACTTGCCACCAGCAGCTTAGTGTAATTATATGCTCGAATAATAAACTGAAGAAAAAGTGAACAAGTGGTTGGTGCTGTGTAACACAGTACTAGTGTTCTTTGGTTGAAGATTGAAGGAAGATTTAGCTCGCTTTTCATGTACATATTTTCCAAACTATTAAACGGTCTTTTCTAAAAAATATTTATATATAAAGTCGCTTTAATAAAACCATACAAGTCCATTTTTCAAATCTAAAATGATTAATACTTTATTAATCGTATATTAATGGCTAATCTCGTTTTTCGTATCTCCCCAATCTTTTTATTTCCTTTCAAACACTACGTCAACTTGTATTTTGTTTTTCCTTATTTAGATGGATAAACATGTACTATATACTACAATCCCCTGTTGTCAACTGGTTTCATTTGATCATTGGAGGACAATGTAAAGAAAGTACTACTTTCTTCAGTCATCTTTATTTATCTTCGGGATAGCTAATTTTAGGGGGGAGGGGGGGTTGGAGAAAATTCAAAGGAAATTTTATAATTCTTAGGAATATTTTCTTATTAGCTCCTTTGGAGAAAAGGAATACGACTGACAAATATCACATGAATTTAGTTCTGATGCCTCAGTTCTACAGGAATATAAGTATAAACTTAGACCTCATATTTTTATTTTTCTTTGAGAAGTCCGATGCATTCCCTCCCCTTTTCTCTCTAGTATTTTTCCTCAAAATAACTTCCTCCAAAATCCCTCTGAAATTCCAATGTTTTATTTCCTATGGACAATCCAAATGCATAAACTCTTGAATTCGCATGTTTTAAAATCACTTAGGAATCCAAAGTATATATATGACATGATATTCATACATTCTTTTTCAATTTATGCGTTTTGAAAACACTATATTCCAAAGAGAAACCCTTAGCTCTCCCGACGTCAAATAAGAGTGACCGTTCTCGCATTCACTCCATCGCACCACTTCATGCCGCAAAATGTTTCCATTTGAAATTATTGTTTATTTATACATACGACCCACGCCCGACTCAACCATTGCATGACACTACTGTTATTTTCCTAGACCCACATAGAGATAAACTCAGTGCAAGGATTAGTGGATAGAGATGCGATCGAATGTTAGTCGTACGTCATGGTCGTATATAGTAGGCCGTCATGACATTAGTGGATCGTATGGCACCCTCAATGTATATTTTTTCTATGAAAGCTGTCCTCTTTGGGAGCCCGATGTGAAGGAAAAAATATCATGCTAGCTTTCTTTGTGACCTATTCCTCTCCCTCCTCCTACTCCACTCCCCTAGCTTCTGTCGCATGAGGTGGAGCTCATTTGGTTGGCAAGGGAGACGTCGACCGGACTTTGTCCTCGGAACTAGGATTCTCTTTTTCATTAACATGTGAGCCCGATAAACCCTAGACCCACATGCTAGTGACAAAAAAAACATGGCAACTTTGAAGGTAGAGGACCTCAATCTTTGATGAGCTTCCTTCTCATCCTCTATTGTCACTAGAGCTCATTTGGTTGGGACGATGCCATCCATTAGATTTGGTGACATCCCGAGGGACAAAAGCGGTTAGGGGGTAGGGAGGTCAGACACTAGAGATGGTACGGGGCAATGGCGTAATGGCTAGCGTCAGGGAAAATAATATGGAGACAACACCGTACGATGACATTTACCTTGAGCCCTCAGATTTAAGGCTGCGTGGATTTCCTCGGGAGGACATCGTCACCTCATCACCGGGAGCATACAAGAGAGAAGAGTGGATATGCGCGTTGTGAATTTTCGATGTTTCAGGCAGCACATACGGATGTTTCTCGTATTTCGATCAAAATGTTAAAGTGGGGATTTTGATGGCGTTTCTTTTTTTTTTTTGTGGCACAGTTCCTCAGCAAGACAAGCGCACGGCTTCACCCACTCACCTACTACCTCTGCGTTGTTTCGCCCCGTCTGCTAGCGCGGCGGGTCGTTGTCTTCTTCATCAACAGGAGGCGGCAAGTAGCCAAGTAGGAGGCATCCCCATAGTCGCGCAACCTTACCTCCGGATCTTCGTATTATATTGTTTTATATTGTTTCTTCTTCTTCTTCTTCTTGTTTGTGTAGCAAGTAGCAACGGAGTCTCAGATCAGATTAGCCGCCACAGGGGAGGGGAGACCATGGACGAGGCCGCCGCCGGCCAACGCGCCAGTCCTCTTCTTGCCAAGGTACGGCGAACCGCGGAAACTGCTAATCCCCGCAGGCGCCTATCCTGACCTTTTCCTCTTGTATATATGTGTGTTTCTTGCTTTGCTGCCTTATGGGGTTTCAGGGGAAGCAGAATAGTATGATGCAAAGATTGTGGCTTTACCGATCAAGATTTGGTTTTTACTACAGTTGGGTGTGGGGATGTGAGCTGGAGTAAATTTTTTTGTTGTTGTTTTTTTTAAAGCAGAAAATGCAAATCGTAGTCTGAAATTGAGAAAAGAAAAATGCGATGACTGATAACTGCTACCTGGATACTGATCTTTGATGTTGATAAGGATTATGAAACCCCGAAGATGTCTAGTGCGTATTTCATTCCGTCGGTGGATTTGGTCAAAGAATGTTGAGTTTTAGATTGTTGTACCTTGTTTTGGAACGCGAAATTTTGCAGATCGAATAAGCTGTTTTCGATCTACTCAATCACATTGCGGTGTTTATGCTGACGTCTGGCCTTCTGTCAGAATGATGGATCAAGCTATGGTGAAGAATCACAGAGTTTATTGGAAGAACAGGAGCCACAGGTTAAAACTAAACAATCTGGCTGGAGAGCACCATCAATCATTCTGGGTGAGCCTTGTTATATAAGCATACCCTTCTTCTCGTAAAATCAAAATCTTCTCTCCATCGAAAACTGTGTGAAAACCAATTCATATATAGAGGGATTGGAGCACCCATCGGTGCATCACTATATAAACATTCTTTACCATGATGCCACAACTAATGCTCACAAATCATGCAGGACTTGAATGCTTGGAGAGCATGGCTTTCAATGGCATTGCCACAAATCTAGTTGTGTATATTCGCTCAGTTCTCCATGGTGGCATCGCTTCCAGTGCTTCAACTTCTTCTCTTTGGTACGGTACTAGTTTCTTTGTGCCTATACTTGGAGCAACCATTGCAGATACTTACTGGGGAAACTATAAGACAGTCTTGATCTCCTTTATCATGTATTTACTTGTAAGATCAGTTTTCCTGCTCAACTGCTCAATCTTATTCACATTTCATTGAACAATTGAACTACTCCAGAGTCAAGATGATGCATTTTTGTTGTAGAAAGGTCATAATGAAATACCGATGCACATTTCAGGGTACGGTATTCATTACTGTTGGAGCTTTTCTGCCTTCTGCTCCAGCCTTATGCAACACGGAATCATGCTCATCAATGAATGGGACTCAACATCTAGTATACTTCTCAGGCCTGTATCTCACTGCTATTGGTTGTGGCGGAGTAAGGTCTGCGTTGCTTCCGCTTGGTGCAGATCAATTCAACAACGATAGCAGTTTAGATATACAAAAGAGAAGGAATTTCTTCAGTTTATTCTACATTTGTGTTATCTTTGGTGTGATTACTTCTGGCACCATCGTAGTATGGATTCAGGAAAATGTGAGCTGGGCTATAGGATATGGTGTTGCCACTGCATGCATAGCTCTTGCTCTGATAGGCTTTTTGGTGGGAACACCAATATTTCGGCGACATGAGCCCCATGGTTCTCCAGTAAGGAGTGTTTTCCAGGTCATTGTTGCCTCTTTTAGGAACTTGGCCTTGGAGCTTCCTGCTGATAGCTCTCTTCTTTATGAGGTCAGGAGAAAGAACACACAGAAGAGTGAACCAAAGTTGGCTCACACTGATGATTTCAGGTACTAATCTTTCTTTACAGTATATAATTGAGTCTGAGAAACGTATGACATTTCCCTTTTACTATCATGCTGTTTCAGCACCAGTTGATTTTATCATGTACATATTTTTCTCAGCTGTTAATTACTCGACAATTTCTGAACAAAAAACCTGACATCATAACTCATTGATGATCACTCCTCTGGTTGTGTAGCTCATGCAGCTTATGCAGACAAAATAGGAACAGAAAAGTATTTAAAGCATGAAATAATAAACTGTAATAATTATTTGTTCAGAATCGAGTGTAATTTTAACGGTGTCCCCCTATACTTGAAGTTGGTTTAATTCCTTAGATAATCAACTTGCTAATCCTAGCTTTTGCCTCAGATTCTTAGACAAGGCTGCCATTATGTCTGATCTGAGCTTGGACCAAGACAGTTGCACAAGTCCATGGAGGATCTGTACTGTAACTCAAGTCGAGGAATTGAAAATACTAATCCGTTTACTTCCAATATGGGCAACCGGGATATTCTTTTGTGTTGGGATCTCTCAAATGCACACCACCTTCATTCAGCAGGGGACTGTGATGAACACCAAGATTGGCTCACTCTCCATTCCAGCAGCTTCCCTGTATTCATTTGAAGTGATATGCGTGACATTCTGGGTTTTCCTGGTGAACAAAGTCATCATACCAGTGACCAGAGCATGCTTTGCAAACGGGGCGGAAATGACGCAGCTGCAGAGGATCGGCATCGGGCGATTCCTGATGATATTCGCCATGGCGATCGCCGCATTTCTAGAGATGAAGAGGCTAGAGAGCGTCCAGGGGGGCGATCAGCCCCTGAGCATCGCGTGGCAGCTCCCGCAGTACTTCGTCATCGCTGGGGCGGAGTGCTTCACCATCATCACTCAGCTGGAGTTCTTCCACGGTCAGGCGCCGGACTCCATGAAGAGCATGCTGACGGCATTCGCGCTGCTCACCACCGCCCTCGGCAACTACTTCAGCTCGGCGATCATCACCCTCATCGCGAGGGTGACCGGGACATGGCATAGCCCTGGATGGATACCAGATGATCTGAACAAAGGGCACCTTGACTACTACTACTGGTGTCTCGCAGCCATCTCAGCTGTAAATTTCGTTGTTTACATCTATTTTGCCAGTAAATACAAGTTGAAGAAGGCTGTCATCCAAGTCTAAAGTTTTTGTAAAGTTACCAATTGCCACCACGTGAAGTGTTTATAGATTGTATATGTTAAATTATACTCCAGTTAGGTTTTAGAAGGACCATTATATCCCAAAATAGCTTCAGGTTGATCTGAGGAAGCTACCCGTATCGGCAAATGTACTTAATTCAATTTGTCAAAAGAATTATGTATCCCTAATGTTGTAATTTCACAATGAGTAGTAGAATGATAGTTTTACTTGTGCATGGAAGTGAGTTTGAAATGGAAATGTTGAACATTTGTTCTTTTGGATCTGTTGTATTTAGATTATTCCTATGTACATGACAGCATATTTGCATTATGCATTATGAATATTTACATGACAGTATATTTAGGAGGAGATTGGAAGATTAGCTTTGTTTTTAGCATGTTCTGCCTGCCAATAGTTGATGAGAAAATCAACAATTTCATAGTTGCTTTTTTTTTTCTAAAACAGTTTGATTGATCTATGGAAAAATTACATAAACCATTCCAGAAGTCACTTAAGTCATTTGTGACAAGTTTTAACATTCCATCACATAAGTCATTTTGTTGTAAATGCCCACCCACTCTACTTAGTTTTATTAAAAAAACCACCTCAGCGCGCACGTGCTTAATCGAATCGATTATGTTTTCATAAATTGTGAGGCGTCTACGTGGTCTTTCTTTACCAAAAGTAAATACATTTACGAGTATAGTCTTGGCACATTTTTGGAGATTGCATAAATAGAATTGCAACAAAATCAAGTAGGAGGGTAGACACATCCGCAAAAATGACTTATGGGGGTGAAATCATGAACTTGCAGTGATCTCCTATTTTCTGTGAGGTTCATTAACATTTTTAGCTGCATCGATTCATCTCAAAAATGAAAAAGAGAACATATAAAAAAAAAGAGAAATAAACTGCAGTAAATAACTGTTCAAAGAAATGAATAATAGCCCGTACCCCTCTCCCACCACTCCATCCTGGCCGTCCGATCTCAATCCGACGGCCCACTTCGCCATTTAGGCCAATTTTCTCTCCAAGGGAGGCCCAAAACCCTCACTCCCCCTTCGCGATCTCCTCCGCTCCAAAATGTGGCGCCGCCACCTCCTCCGCCGCCTCCTGCCGTCTCCGGCCACCGCCGCCGCCGCCGCCGCCTCCCCCTCGCCGGCGATCCGCCTCCTATCCACCGCCTCCCCGGATCCCGCCCCGCCGGCGACGCTCGCCTCCTCCCTCGCCGGGGCGCTCTCCGCGCTGTCCTCCACCCCGCCACCGGCCACCTCCCCGGACGCCTACTTCTCCCTCCACTTCTCCGACGTGCGCCCCACCAACGCGCTGCTCGCCGAGGCGCTCGCGCTCGCCCCGCCGGCCACGTCCCGCGCCGCCGCGGAGCTCTTCCGCTTCCTCGTCCGCCGCCGCTCGCTCCACCCCTCCGACTCCGCGCTCGCGCCCGTCGTGCGGCATCTCGCCCGCCGCCGCGACTTCCCCGCGGTGCGCTCGCTCGTCCAGGAGTTCCCCTCCGCGCTGGGGCACGACACGCTCGACGCGTACCTCCTCAGCCTCGCCAGGGCCGGCCGCGCCACCGACGCGGTCAAGGTGTTCGACGAATTGCCCCCGCAGCTCCGCACGCGCCAGGCGCTCACTTCCCTGGTCTCCTCGCTCTCGGCTGAGGGCTGGCCCTCGCACGCGGAAGGCGCTGTCAAGAAGGTCGCTAATGAGATCTTCCCGGATGATAACATCTGCACTCTGTTGGTATCTGGCTATGCCAATGCTGGGAAGCTTGACCATGCTCTGAGGTTGATCGGTGAGACGCGCCGTGGTGGGTTTCAGCCAGGGTTGGACGCCTACAACGCGGTTCTTGATTGTATCTGCCGGCTATGTCGCAAGAAGGACCCGTTGAGGATGCCTGCGGAGGCAGAGAAGTTCTTAGTTGACATGGAGGCCAATGGCATTCCCCGCGATGCAGGTACTTTCCGGGTTCTGATCACTAATCTTTGCAAGATTCGCAAGACTGAGGATGCAATGAATCTGTTCCGGCGAATGGGTGAGTGGGGATGCTCACCAGATGCCGACACCTACTTGGTGCTTATTAAGAGCTTGTATCAGGCTGCCCGGATTTCTGAAGGGGATGAGATGATGACATGGATGCGGTCTGCAGGGTTTGGTGCTAAGCTTGATAGAAAGGCATATTATGGGTTCATCAAGATTTTATGTGGCATTGAAAGGGTTGAGCATGCTGTCAAGGTGTTCAGGATGATGAAAGGATATGGACATGCACCTGGGACAAAGTCATATAGCTTGCTGATTGAGAAGCTGACTAGGCATAACTTAGGAGATCGTGCTAATGCACTGTTCAGGGAAGCAGTGGCACGTGGTGTGACTGTGACGCCAGGAGTGTATAAGATTGATAAGAAGTATGTGAAGGCGAAGAAGGAGAAGAAGGTAAAGAAGAGGCTGACTTTACCAGAGAAGATGAGATTGAAGAGCAAGAGGCTGTACAAGCTTAGAATGAGCTTTGTTAAGAAGCCTAAGCGTCGAATGGTCCGGGTTTGAGCAGGCTTTGGGGTAATTTTCATACCCTTTCCTTCTCTTTTCGCTTTAAGCAATGCTCTATTTGCTCCAGTATTTGCTGCATGATAGTTCTGTGGTTTTGCTGGAGATTAGTCCATTTTGTTTTAGATGTTTTAACAGAAAGACGTACTGAAAACTAACTTGTTTCAAGAGAACCGATGTGCAGAAATGAAACTTTGCTTAGATCTAGTTCTCCGCTCCATTCCACTTAAGATGTGTTAAACACTATAAATATCCTCACAAATGTATAGAAGACGAGTTGTAGTGTAGAAATATCCAAAAAATGGAATGTTGCATTGTTGAATGTTGAATAGGCTTTTAGGTCTTAAGTTGACAAATTACACTTTCATCATCTAGGTGAGTATAAGTTTTGAAGCGAGGTACTTTGGCATGGACTAACTAACAAGGCAGGTTATTATGTTTGAGTGAGATTGCTCATTTCAAGCCAAAGTTAGTAATACTAGTAATCAGTACTTTAGGATGTTAACCTGGATTCTTATAGCTGATAAAAAAGTACTTCAGGAGATTAACCCTGGATTCTCATAGCTGATAAACTAGATGGAATCGCACTGATTAAAATTGTGGAATCATAGTTTTCCTTGTTTTGTTCTATTTTGTTGTCTGAGGTGTTCCGATGCTATCCTTAAAGTGGAAACTACAAAATTTAAAGCACATAGATACATTGATGCTTGATTTGTAACCACCGACTGCTACAATGCAAGATTAGTGATATTTGGTTTAGGGAAGGGTAGACGGTATAGAAACACTAGTCGTTATTTCTTCAATGCATTGAAGCTGTCACAGTCCATGCAGTTATAGAGATAATGTATTTTGCACATGTTTAAATTGCTTTGTGGTTAAAACCAGATACTACTAAGTAGCGAGTTAAGGTAAGTAGTTACAGCATACATGTAATGAAAAAAATACACTAGTATTACGTTCTGTATGGTGTGATATCATGAGATTACCCTTCCAAACTTTGCTTCTCACCGTCCAAACTAGTGTTTCTTGCTCTTAACTTCTTTTTTATTATTAGTATTCCTTAATAGTGACTATGCTTTGTTGGAATTTAACTTTAAAGATAACTCTCATTTTCTTTTGTTAAGTTGCAAATGCACAAAGCTTATGGATGACTATGCTCGATGGAAGCAGCAGTACCATGGGCCCAATTTTTAAAAAATAAGATATGCGGGATATCCACAACCGAATGGTGTGTTTTCCTTATAACAAGAGTTGCAGTTGTTCCTACAAATTTCTCCGTGTGTCGAAATCTATTGACCCCCTTACCCTTTTGTTACCTATTCAGATTGTTTAGTCAGCGTAGGAATGATGCTATAATCAAGTGGGCAACATTGACGTGTCCTGCTATCTGCCTTCCTATGTGTGCGCTAGAAGATAATGAATAAACAGTTTCTACCTGAAACCTCGTTTTGGCTTTTTATGCAATAGTTATGCCCACAAATGCAGCATGGATGATTGGGTGTACAGTTGCTCTCCCAGGACCATCTAGGTGTTCTCTGAATTTGTTATAATCTTCTTGTATGCAGTTTTGCATGCTTGCTGCTTTATCATCTGTGTAATTTTCCTTTCTGATGTATTACTAATGATTGTTCTAATTATCTTGTTTAGTTGGAGCGGATGATCATGGGAAGAGAGAATCAGAAAGAGGCCATTTATAATTTTGAAGAGCAGTAAATTGTCGTCCTTCAATTTTCCCCACATTACAAGTGGCTCACTGACCGCAACATTTTTCTGATCGGAGTCCTTCGTGTGGTTTCTATCTCTTGGACAATGGATTGCTGACACTTTGCTGTGCTGTTTTATGTTCTCTGCAATGCCTTGTGTTTCATTAACACAAATAATGAATGTATCATTTTACTTAAGTTTATGTTCACCACAGTTGAGAGGAAACTTTTGGTATATGATGAAGCAACTGTCTTGCAGATCCGTAGTTATCGTTTGAGCAATGTTTTGTACACTCTAGTTTCTCATGAACTCATGAAATATTTTATACATCGCCTGCCGAAACTACTCATTTGACCTTTTTCTTTGGGTGAGAATGTGCTCCCCAAAAGAGCTTGAATGCATGAGCTTGATCAATTCCAACTCCACTAATTGGGAAATGATATTGCTGTGGGGCCTTCTACTTATCTTCTTGATTGATTGATGCTGAGTCACGTCAGAATTTAGGTCTCGGCAATTGGGTTCAGCCGGGATGAGCAGAAACAGTTGAGGAGATCAGGGTGCACACATGCCTTTCCTTTCCCAGATTTCCATCAGGCAGGCAAATGCCATTTCATCTGCCTGACTTTTTTTTTGTTCCAGGTGCTACTGGACACTTGTTTTGCGTGCACTTGTGCTTCTCTTTTCTGCGAGATAAAAAGTTGTAATCTCGCAGGCCAATCTTGGATCAAGTGATACCATCCACGTCATGATACAAGGGACTATATCACTTTGCTTTGGAGATAACAAAAACAATGGGTTTCTGGGACCCCTTTGTTGTTGCTCCCTTTGTCCTCATTGGCAGAGTTCGATGCACCAACAAGTGCTTTGATGAGAGGCAACTGGAAAAAGAAGTTTGCAAAAGACAGGCAAAATTTTTTTAAAAAGGTTTTGATCTGAAATGGCAGCTTCCAAGTAAATAAAACACTGCTGGGCATTCTGAGGTAAGAACACTGTTGTCTGCTTGCTGAAGTTCAAATATCAAATTTAAGGCCATGTGTTCATCATAGAAAATTTTCCCAATTCCTACGAAAATTGAACTACTCTGAAATTATCCCCGCGTTTCAGACGCGGGGATTTCTCACTCTGTATCATGCCTTTTTGGAGGCTAAGCATTAGCATTTCCAACCAAATTATAGCAGTAATTGATCCCTGTAAATTTCTTTTCACCCTTGTGCATACTAGTTCAACTGCAAAGAAAGATGATAAAAGTGGGGAACCCTATTTGCTTGTATGCAAGTCTTGGGGAGGACATGATGAGTTCTTGGTTTGTCCTAATTTATGGATTGACAGCTCACCAACCTTGGACCCTGCCCATTGTTTCCCTGGGAGCACTTTCTCTATCCTATCCCAATACCAGCATATTTTTTGCACAGTAGGACAACACAGTGTGTTGATGGGGATTGATTTAGCCCTTAAATAATTGAGGAAACAAAAGCTCACATCCCTACAAAAAGCAGTCTCTCTCATCAAAAAAGGATTTTGTATGCACCCAGCAAGTGTCTGGTTGTTGAGCTTCCAAAAACTGGGGCCTCTCCTGGCATTTGCATGATGCTGGGATCATGCTAGAAAATTGCCATCTTACCATGGTGCTTACCAATAATCCAACCAAATGGTTCTGATTTTCTGAAGAAGCTCTTGCATTTAGCCCAATCAAATCAGCTCTGCAGAGGAGGATTGGGATTCAGCTGCCTCCATTTGATGCAGCAATCATTCCATCTTCTGAAACTTCAGCGTGGAGGCACGTAAGCTTTGAGAATGACATGTCCCATTTCATCATCTCAAAGCTTTGTATGGCTGCAAATGTAAAGAATCCAGGAAAATTCAAGCAAGTTATCCAATGGCTTAAGGAAATGATGTATATCAAAGTATACCAATCCAACTTGTAAACCTACGTGTCTGTATCCAGGTAAGAAGAGTGAGATCTAATACTAGTATCTCGCAAAAATTAGTAGTATATAGTACAACCGAAATGAAAAGTGAAGGGTACGTCTGCTTCCAAAGAACAGTTTAGTCGTGAGCAAAATTTTGAGAAAATGTTTTAGAAAATTATGGATTGTTTGACATGGCAAGCCTCCTAGACGAAAGTATAACAATCGCAAAATATTAAATTTGAACTGTAAACGTGGAAGGAAAGAACTCTGCAAATACATAAGACTGGTGGCATGATGCATATATCATCATCTCAAAATAAAAATGTTTGTCTGCACGAACAAGTACTAGATCTAGTCAGATAGGAGTAGGACTAACTTCTATAATAGGCAATTTGAAGCAAAGGTGGAATTTATCAAAGCTAGCAAAGAAAATTGTTAATTCTACTTGTGGCACATTCCTTCAGTTCTGTCTAGTTCCATCTTAGCAAAGATGATATGCAAATTTGGATGGAAATTTGGTGCGAGGGAACCAAAATTTTCCCTTGTATTGACTACTGATCACACTGCGAATGGCAGGATAAGTAGCCTGTTTTCAGGCACGTTGGAAACATGAACTTGGTTTGGCCAAACGTTCAAGTCTTGGGTAACCTTACATGAGAAAACATTACTCTGTGGTATGCAAATGTGGCACAGGCAGTTTTGTGTTAGTGCAATGAGATGTTCAGATAGGACTAACGAACTAGAACAGCTTTGATCTTTATACTTAGAGACTGAGATTTGATTTTGGAACATTTCTACTACTCTTAGCATAGATGAGTTTGATTTTTGGGGATCTTATGCATACACAGAATAAACTATGAAGTACATCATAAACTTTTTTAATGACTTTTTATGCTAATTCAGTGGCCTAACTGAAAAAAGGGTTATCATGCTGTCTCTGTAGTTGCGTTTTTGCAATTGATATGTTGCCAAAATGAAAAATTGTCTGTAGTCCAAAAGATGCATCTCTATCCTCATGTAGCTCATGCCTCATAATTCATCTTGTTTGCTAGTAGAAAACAAGTAGGCTTGAATTCCATGTTCTTTAAAAGAAAAATCTAAGTCAGGATAAGCATGGTATGCATGGAACTTGTACTTTTGTGATCAGGATTCAGGAACCCTGAATAACATAGCACAGGATGCACAAATTTGTGGAGAAAAAAAAAACAGAAGTAAAGAAAAAGAACAAATGGATTTAGGGTGTCAACAGCATGGACCATATATGGACCCTCTATGCTTATTACAATAGCTTGCCATGCATCCCCTCTGTCATTTGCAAATGCAGACAGGAGCTCCATCGTTTTCTGAAAAAAGATGAGGAGGACCGCAACTTGTACCAGCAATATGGTAGCTGACAAAATTCCTCAACCTCTTCCAGATGCCTCAGCAAAATCACATAAAAAGAAAAGAAAAAGGAGATTAAAAATTTGGTTTAAAAGCAAAGGAAAAATTATAACAAAAAGGCATAAGGAGTATGAAGTACATTATATGCTAACCCTAATTCCATGGTCAGAGTTTTATCACATATTCCCTCCGTTCTAAAATACTCCAACACTTCTGCACGTTTTCCAAAATAATTTTGAACGGAGGGATGTACATTTATATTTTCAAAATCACGCAAAAAATTTATAGTTTGAAAATGAGATAGTAGTTTATTAGCTTCATAAAAAGAAACATCAATTAACTTCAGGGCAAATGAATAATTTTCTCAGAAACATTAAAGCTCTGATAGGGTGAATGAAGCTAAACAAAGCTAAGTTTCAAAATTGAAATTTGGGAATATAAATTTTTATACCCGTATTATTTGTGATTTAAAGGTTAATGTTAATTGAAAAAAAACTATGGTAAAAAAACCTTAAAATTAAAATAGACTTTAAATTTTATTTTTTTACCAGATAAACCAAAAAAATACAATAAAATTCTAAGGGGTTGCTTTGATCGTTGCTTCACTTTACTAGCCACACCTCAGTTATGCCACGATCATTAGATATGCGTTTGTTTCATTGACACAACTCTCTCTTTTACTTTGGGCTCACGAGTTATTCACTCAATCGTTTTATAAACCAAACCACACTTGTGACCTATACTAATTTATTGTCACACCCCAATCTGGCACCGCCGTACAACGGCACCTGACAGGAGCATGTCGTGGGAAAAACGGCGCGAACCGCTTCCTACGAAACCGTGATCTCAGTACCAGTCCCAGGACATAGCGCTGGTACCCACGGTGACAAATATGAATCATTGCAATCCTTAAAATAAATAGAGGACTTATTTACCTTAACTTAGGTTGCAGCTCAGAACAGCCCGAGATTTCAACCGACGACGCGGACGAGGAAACACCAACAACAGCGGCAACAGCGGAACCAACGGACTAACACCCAACACCACAGGCGACGGCTGGGAACCAGGACGAAACCCTATTCTTCACTTCACTTCATCTTCTCTTTAAGGCGGAGGAACTATATATATTTATATAGAGCAAAGGTGAGTACTTTCGTACTCAGCAAGTCACGGGAATTTAGGTGTTTAATGCAAGCTTGGAAGAGAGGCAAGGTTGTTTTTGCAAATCTTTTGTTTTGAAATCATTTTGAAATCACTAAGTGATTTATTTCTTTCTAAGTTTGGGCCGAAAAGAGACTTGCGTCTCGATTCGACTTTAAGATATGTTTTTCAACAGCTCATTTGGTAATGTACCGACCTCCCGGGTCAGATCATTACTTCTCGGCTCCCAGAGCCATTCCACTTGATTAATCGGCTCCTAGAGCCTTTTTCATTTTCTCGGACTCCCAGAGTCCAGCTGCCCAGCAGCACAACAATCCGCTTCCACTCGGGAAGCCTAGTCTATGATGCCCGTAGACATCCCGAATCACACAGATTCGTTTCTTGACCACTCAGGTCATCCATCTGCCACATAGGCTGATTCTAGTAACGATTCCCATACCGCAACAACTTTTCACAAAGCACAGGCAAACAAATCTACGCTACAGGAAACACCTCACATCCGCCCATGACCGCGGGCACGGCTGTTTGAACAGTTAGTTAACCTCTGCAGAGGGGGTACACTTTACCCACACGACATTACTAACCCGGATCACCCAGCCCGTGAGATCAGCCACGTCGGGAGACCTTAAGGCTTTCATGACAAGGCATTTCGAAAGCCGACACAGGTTCACCATATGCCAACGAGAAGGGTCCCAGACCAACACCAGATTAGGTCCCAGACCATACTGTGACAGGAAGCCCAGGGGTCCTCCCCGACACCACCCCGGCGAATCCACATGTCTCTTAGCATCATGGCTCCCCCGATAAGCTAGTTACTCAGCCAGGGGTGTCCCATTGCACCCGTGTGGTCGCACTTGTTATATGCTCGGATGAATTTCCCACAGGAGTCGGTCCTTATATGCGAATACGGGACAGTGCCACACAGGCACAACCCCCGCATCACGAGTTTTCACAATCTATTTTATTTTCCAACACACCGACGCCACATGTCGGGTTTTCAAGGCTTCTTAAACCCATTTCCCAAGTTTTCGACAAACAACGGTGTATGTGGGATATTTGGTATACGCGCTTAGAGAGCACGGATACCAAGGTACCACAAAGGTGGAGCGACAAGGAAATCAGGGTAGTACAACCTACAGCAATTAGTGTGACTACTAGGTAGGTCCGTCGGTTTGGTACGCAAACCGAGGCCAAGCAAGTTAAGTGTGTGATTCTAATAATGCAAGTTGCAAACAAAATAATAATGATTTTCCAATTATAGGAGCAATTGGTCAAAGGGTGACTTGCCTTGCTCAAGGTCTTCACGAAGCTTCACGAATCTTCGAGAAAACCCGCGATCGACGAAAATCCGGTAACCGCAACTATACGCAAACAATCGAAAACCTAAACAAAAGACCAAAAGAAAGATCCTATTTAGACAAATTAGTGGTGCTATTAAATAGATCTCAATTTTATGGAGGTACTGGAAGTGGAACGGAGTCAATCGGAGTTACGGATCGAGAGATATGAATTTTGGAAGTTTAATTGGAATTTCTGGGCAAAGGAAGATATTTGTGGAACAAGGGGAAATTGATTTATGAAATTTATAGAAATAATATTCTCAAGAATATTATTGGCAGTCACGGACGTGCGGGACCAAGGGGAAATGATTCATGGAAATTTTGGAATAAGGAATTGATTTATGGAAAAAGGAAATGGATGAGGGATGTATGTTAGACTTTTTCGGGCGGCAAGGGCGCGGCCCAAGGGTTGAAGGAGGCTCGGCCGAGCCATTTGGGCCGGCGCGGGCGCGGGAAAGGCGGCCCATTAGGGCGCGCGGAAGGGGGAGGGAGTGGTCCGGTGGACCGAGTGCACCTCGCGGGTTCCAGGTGGGGCCCGCTTGTCGGTGACACGGCCCACGGTGGGATGGGCGCACGCGAGGTGCGGCGCAAGGGTTTCGGGTGCGCGTGGCTTAGGAGCGGTGCACCGGTTGGACGGATGGCGGCGGGCCCACGTGCAGCCGCTCGGCTTGCCGTGGACTGCGCGCACGGGAGGGAAGACGGAGGGAGGGGGCGGCTGACCGGCTTGGCCCGGTCAAAGCCAAGGTGGCACCGACGTGGCGCCTACGTGGCAGCCACGCGGGCCGGCAGGAGGAGGAAGAAGGGGAGGCCGAGATGGACGACGGACGGCGGCCGTGTCCACCGGAGCAAGCGCGACGGATTTGGTCTTCGGGGAGCACACCGGAGTGACGAGGGCGTCGAGAAGGAGCGAGCCAACGGCTCGGATTCGCCGGAGGGAGTTCGACGGCGGTGGAATTCGACAGCGGCGGCCGGCGGCGAGAGAAAGGGGAAATCACCGAGGGGCGACGAGGACTCAATTAAAGGCGGCGGGAGCATCTCCGGTGTTCAAGGAACTCATTTCCGGGGTCGGATGGGTCGAGCGGCGCCATGGAGGTCCGGCGACGAGAGGCGGCCTCCGGGGGTGGGCGGCAATGGCGGTGGGGCCATGCCGGGTGGCGGCGGTCCTTGGGGCGGCGTCTACGCGCGTTCGGCAGGGCTACCAAGCTACCACGCAAGCTAGAGGGGACGAGGGTGAGCAGGGAAGGGGAACGGGAGGGAGGCACTACCGAGCCGGGACGGCGCGGTGACGAGCAGCCAACGGCGCGGAAGCGAGTTCTCCGTCGTCGGGCCGGGGAAGGGGTAGGAGAGGGTGCCCGGAGTCCCGCGTCACGCGTCCACACACGCACCGGTCTCCCTGGTGCTTCGGCGACGGACAGCGAGGGTGATTGCAAGGCGGGGTGGCAACAATGGCACGGGGGAGATTGGGCATGGAAACGAGGAGGAAAGGGAGGGGCTCGGGTTGGGTTTTATGGGTGCGGGAAGTCGGTTTTGGGGAAGGAAACCGACTTAGGGCGGTCAAGGGGAGGAGCTGGCGGTCGCGCCCGTGGTCCAGGCGGTGGCAGGCGGTGACGCCGATGGTGGTCGGGCAAAAGGAAAAAGGAGGGGGAGAAAGGGTGCTCTGCTCCTTGCTGTTTCGGGAAAAGTTGAAGGAGGGAGAGGGAGTGAGAGAGGGGCTGTCTCTCTCGGCTTTGGAAGCTAGCGGCGTGGAGCGGCAGAGCGGCAGCGCACGACGCATGCGTCGCCAGGGCTTGACGCGGCGGCAACCGGGCGGCTGAGCGGCGCAGGCGCGGCAGGGCTGACGGCGGCAACGACCGGCCGGTCGGCCACGCGCGAGCGCGGGAAAGAGCGAAGGCGGTGGCGGGTTTTGGGCGGCGACAGCGGGAAGCGGCGTCGGCGCGAGAGAGAGAAAACGAGAGAGAGAGAGGGAGAAACAGCGAGAGCGAGAGAGCTCTCTCTCTCGGCTCGGCTCGGCACGTGCAGCTCACGTGCGAGGCTAAGGGAGGAGAAACGGCTGAGGGAGGGAGGTGGGCTAAGGGGGAAAACGGCCCACAACACCCGAGGGAGGTAAAATAGACTTTTGTAGAGAAGACTGATTTGGAGTGGATTCGAATTGGGGTTTTGGATTCGAGTTCAGATTTGACATTCGAACTCGATGGTTTAGGGAGGAAATCAAGGGAGACTCGAGGAGAAGTCAAGGAAGAGATTCAAAACGGAAACTTGGATATTTTTACCTTTTTTTTTAGTCGGAGCGAATATTCGGCAAGGATTCAAAGGAAGGGATTGACTTTCGGAATTTGATTTCGGAAACTTGAATTTTGGATAGGAAATCTTGAGGTGGAGGATTTTTGATTTCGATGAGAGGGAACAACGGGATTAAATTGAGATCCTTGGCACAACTTAGACTCTCACACAAAGAACGAAAATTTTCGTAATTAGGATTTTGCCGAATTAGTTTTTAACGACTCACGAAAAGCGGAGTGTTACATTTATGAAATCACTTTTATGCCATGTCACAATTTTATGTAACGTTAGTTGTGACAAACTAGGCAACTACCAAACAAATCCTTAATGAGTGACGTTAAGAGATAATCTTTCTAGAAGCGATGAGGAAGGTAGAGGAGAAGCCAGAGTTGCGATAAGGATGAGGGCATCCGCACGTGCATTGCAGCTCGACAAACGGACGCAACAAATAAAAGATAAAGGCATTCAAAGAATACTCCCTTCAACCTATAAAAAATCAATCTTATACTGAATATAACACTATTAGTACTATGAAATCTAGACATACATATGTCCAGATTCATTATTTGTGAGACGTGGAGAGTAGTAATAAATACTCCTACAGTACATGATAGTATTCCCTCTATTCTATTTTAAGTACAACCATAATTTTCCGTGCACAACTTTCACCGTCCGTCTTATTGAAAAAATAAAAACACAAGTTACTATTCATATTTTATCATCTCATAATAATAAAAATGCTAATTATAAAAAATAAATAAGACGAAGGATTAAAGTTGGACGCGGAAACTTATACTTACACTTAAAATGGTACCGAGAGAGCAGTAGTTAAGAGACCTAGAAGAAAAAACATAATAAATAAAGCCATAAAAGAAAGAAAGAAAGAAAAATAAACACATAGTCCACGCAGAATTCAGATCAAAACAAGTTTTTTTTTTCTTTTCTCCCTCCTCGTCTTTCAGATGCAGACATCCATCCACCACTTAATTTAATTAGCTTCTTTGTTTATAACAAACAAATTTGCGAAGTACAGTTGAAATTAAATAAAAAAAGAAATCATATGCATGTAGTATGTGCTGCTGTTCCTGTGCGTGTATATAGGTGAGTTAGCTTCCTTCCTGCATCTCTTGGCTTCTTCTTCTTCTTCTTCTTTTATACCCTTCTCTTGTTCGCTTGCGGCTCGGAGAAGAGGAGGAGAGGAGGGGGGCAAGGCAAGCAAATGCTCGGCGCCGCTCCGGTGAGTTCATCGGATCCGAGTCTCTTCTTGATTTTGATCCTGCTCCTGCGATCTTGGGTCAGTTAAGTTCTTGGTTTTGGTTTCTTGGGGGGAAGATGAGGAGATGATGCGGCGCCCAAACCGATTGCAAAATTCTTCTCCTGGTAGTTCAGATTAATCGTGCCTTAGAATTCTTTGATTAGGTGTTGGGACATTGGGGGGCGCGGATAATGCGGTCGATTAGTTCGTTGATTGGTTCGAAGAAGTGAGATTGATGTCACCCATGGGGGTTTTAGTCTTTCAGATAATGTGGTCAGGTCTCAGTTGGTGCATGTGTTCGTGAATCGAAGATTTGATGATTTTTTTGGAGGGGGTGGAATTGTGGGGATTAGTGTGTGGTGGCGCGTTCTTGATTTTCATCTGGGGCGCCTTATCCGAGTTCTTTTTTCATCAGTTTCTTTCCTCTAGGAAAAGAAAAAGTATGCGAGGAATGGGGGCCAAAGGTAGCAGCTTTTCAGTTTTCAGCATCTGCAATGGATTGTCTCCTGCAGTGTTTTACTACCTTCCATTGGCAGTAAAATAGTGTTTTTCAGAGCTTTTTCTGTGATTCTAAAATGAAAAATAGGCTTGGAATCTTTGAACTGGTCTCGACTCAAATGATGACTGCTATAGCTTGCAGTTGCAACTGCCCTCTTCCTTATTTTTCTTTCCCCAGTTCTAGTCCAGACTCCAGAGTAGCTCAGTTTTCATGCTTCCCTTGAGTAAAAACAAGAAAGGCGGTCTGTTTTCTTTATTTGCTCCTTCATATGCTTTCAACTAGTTTTATCAACTCTCTGAAAGAACTAGTTTTATTAACTGTTTGCAATCCTTTGTAATGCTGAGTTCATTTTATTTCTGTCATCCTTTCTATTTTAGATATTTGGATTCAGTGTTGGTGAGTTCATGTTCTGTTGCTTACTTTCTTTGGACTTGAGCAGTATGAATCATGAGTCCACAGTTTTTTACAATTGCCTATGGAAGCTTTGGATCCTGTTGGCTGCCTCTTGGTTTATAAGTTATAAGAGGCCATTTGCATCTGAATGTTACACTTATGCTTTCCTAGATGTTTATGAGCTGATTTGTCCAGTAGTCTGTTCTACTCCTCCTTTGGGAAGTTTGTTTTACTCTTCCAACCATGGATGCTTTTCCAATTATTAAACATGCAATAGGGGATTTCCCCTTCCCAAAATTCATACTAGAGGTCAAAGCGAGAATTAATGAACGCAATGATAGATCCAACCTCCCTCCTGGATTATCAAATTCAATTAGGTTGCTGTCACATCGTATTGTACACCAAATCTGTGCTCCCTCATATTAACGTGAAGTTTGTGTTCACTTCATTCTTGTAGTTACTTTCGTGTTGCGTGAAAATTTGCTTCTTCAATTTTTATTCCTTTTGGTCAAGTTATACCAGAATAGTTTTAATAGCAATTTCTCCTTCAAGTTGGCATTTTATTGGTTCTGCTAGAAATAGTTGGAAGCCTGAAAATAGCTTGTACTTGGATATCATATTAAAGAATGCAACAAACAATCAGCATAAAACTTTTCTAGATGAATGTTATCAGAATGCAACAAACAATCAGCATAAAACTTTTCTAGATGAATGTTATCTTTCCCCTTTTCTTGAATGGCTCACATTCTAGAGAAGAACACCCTGCTGTAATATTCTACTGCAGGGTAATTTTGTAACTTAGGAGCTACAAGTCATGTTTTGGGAATGTTTAAATTTCAACAAAAAAAAATAAAACACCCTTCCTTTTACAAATTCTAGGATTGATACATGGAGGCTATGTGACTTGCAATAGTTATTTCTCAACTAATGGGGAAAGCTTGCCTACGATGGAATCATGGAATATAAGATAAGAGGATGGATGGGATTAAGTAATACAGTGCACAGGACAGATTATCTCTGCTCTACCAAATTTCGGTGCATTGATAGCAAGAGAGAATAAAAAATGTTCTTTTACCTGAGTCAGAAATGTTTGAACTTTGAAGTTCTGATGTTCTGTTGATGAACTGTATCACTTCTTAATCTACTTAATCTACTTCTGTGCAGGCGTATTTTGGTGGAATAGTAACTTAATATAGAGTTCTGGGACAGAAAATTATGGAGAGGGAAATTTCTGCCTTATATGAACCAAAAAGAAACAATGAAATAAGAATTTTTGAGAGTTCAGATGAGATGTCAACAGATCTGGCTGAGTATATCTCGCAAGTTTCAGAAATATCTGTCAAAGAAAGGGGATACTTTGCTATTGCCCTTTCTGGAGGTCCCCTAGTCAGTTTTTTGGGGTAATGTTATTTTCCTAAGTTAACCATATAGTGTTCTTTCATTTGCAAGAAATTCAACATATTGCACATTTTTATCTGAACTGCTATTCTTTTGCATTTTAAAAAGGAAACTTTGTGAAGCGCCATACAACAAGACCTTGGATTGGTCTAAATGGTACATCTTCTGGTCTGATGAGCGTGCTGTAGCAAAGAATCATGCAGAGAGTAATTATAGGATAACAAAAGAAGGATTCCTGTCCAAGGTATGTGAACTAGGAATTTTTCTGCAAGATTTTTTGGAGCCTCTTAAGATATACGCCCATACTAATTTTACATTTCTTGCAAGTTTCGTCTTGTTCAAAATGAATTGATTTTGCTTCTGTGTTTATATATTAGTTTGTACTGAGTACTTACCAGATGGTAGTTATACCTTGCATGATATCCATAATATTGTTGTACATATGCTACTTTGTGCTTCTTATCAATATTTTTTTGGGTGAAGTGAGTAGATTTTGCAAGTTATACATATTCAGATATGTCAGGAATTTTTTTCTTAAAGAAAAAACCTTGGATGCTGTACTGGTTTATAGGATGGACTCATGTCCTGTTTCTGTTCTTTGGTGCTTCTTGTTTCCTTAGAATGTTCCAAGTATTTGGTGATTGATTTGCTTCAAGCCTGGGGATCCTCAAAAATTTCATTTCAGTAGTCAAAAGGACCAACAAGCAGGTTACAATTATAATTATAACCAAGAAATCGTTCCTCTTTTTAAAGTGATTTTTAAGAGGAAGGCCAGGTTGAGAACTGTAGAATATAATTTGGCTTTGCTCAAAGTTATATTGCTTAAGTCCAAACTCAGATCTTTATTCTGGTGCAACGTATCCATTTTACTTTCCTTGACACCTGATATTAGTACAAGATAGCAAATAGTTTGATCTAGTTCTTCAATCCTGGGTAATGGTGCCTGTTAAAAGAAAAGTGGGGTCAGTTGGAATGTACCTTTGAGGAGCCTTTTACACCTTAGGCCCTGGCCCTGACCCTGACTGTTGATCTGGATAAGCGCTGCATCAAGGAGGCTTATTTGTCTTTTAGCAGAACCCTTTTCTGCTATGGCTCAGCATGCTGACCATTATGTTCAGATCGTGCATTATCCTTTGCCAACTGCGGGAACAAATTAAGGCTGCCTAACTACTGCTTTTATTGTTCCAACTACTCTTGAAGCTCCCACCATTCACACCTTTTCATTTCTTCTCAGGATCACGTCTGGCTAATTTTGTCAGAGTAAAAGTTTATCCAAATGGGTGTCCTTTAGTCACATGATTTACATAGCATGTTCTTCCATTGCTCTATATTAATGGGACACTTAATCCAAGCAGTTCAGGAAATTTCTGGGTATCCAGCTAGTTTTCAGAAGGATGGTGACATTTAGTGGCATCTAAAAGCTCTATTTAAGTTGGCACATTCCCTATTCTTGCTAGTGTTAATGTTGCATGAGATTATTGCAAGCATTTGTTTTTGTGCACAGGCTTGGGCCTTTGGTTATAGAATAGGTTTTATTGTATGCCTGTGCCATTGCCATTTCATACTACACAAATTCCCATGTCTGGTTTATCCTGCACTATATAAGCAAATAAAATGTGGCAATTGTTTGTCGGTTTCAGTTATAAGGTGATCCATGATGATGTAGAAAGAATCGTGTGTTGCCACTGTAAATTGAATAAGAATCCGCGGGGGCCTCCCCTGCTGTATCTTGATAAAAAAAAACATCACTGTAAATTATGGTTTAGATAACTTATTCACTTACTATTTATGCTAAGATAATGATCTGTTGCATTTACATGGTTTCTTCTAGGTACCTATTCTCAATGGCCATGTCTACTCTATAAACGACAACGCGACGGTGGAGGATGCCGCAACAGATTACGAATTTGTCATCAGGCAGCTGGTCAAGGTCCGCACTATTGGAGTCTCCGAAAGCAACGATTGCCCCAAGTTCGATCTAATCCTGCTCAGCATGGGTTCTGATGGACATGTGGCTTCATTGTTCCCCAACCATCCATCCCTTGAGCTGAAAGATGACTGGATCACCTACATCACCGACTCTCCCCAGCCTCCACCTGAGCGGATCACCTTCACTCTCCCTGTGATAAACTCGGCTTCGAACATCGCAATAGTGACTACCGGTGACGATAAATCGGAGGCTGTCCATTTGGCCATTTCTGACAATGCAGATGGTCCAGAAGCCCCCTCATCGCTGCCAGCAAGAATGGTTCAGCCAACAGACGGCAAGCTGGTGTGGTTTTTGGACAAGTCAGCTGCGTCCTCTCTGGATGCCGAGAACGATGACGCCTTTGAGCAGCATCGCGAGTACTAACTCCAATCGTCGAAAGAACATTCCTTTTGCTGTGGATGAAGGTGTGTGCGTGTGTAAGTAGGCGGTTTGGTATGATCGAATTCAGGATGTTTTGCCTTCCAGTTTAGCAGAATGCTTGTTGCATTAGTTTTTTTGTGGAGGGTTTTGTTCAGGGAGAGCCTTGAGTGTGTTTTGGTCGTTTTGGCAAATTGGAGATGGTTTTAGAGCGAAGAGGATTGAGACGTCAGAACTGAGAACACCCAAATTTGATTAGGGGTGGTATGATATTATGTGCTACATTATATTTAGTTCAATCAAAGTTAGTTCAAGCAAGTCAAGGTGGAAGAAGCAGAGGCTTTCTGTTAATTTTGTTTCCTTGTGATGTTGCCGGTTCGAGTATAGAAAAATATGATCACAAACTTGATATTTTTAACAAAATCGTCGGGCAATCATTTGCTTGATTGCTACTCCCTCTGTTCATAATGTTGCTGATATTTATATAGATGTTAATGAATCTAAACATACATGTGAATGTGGACAATGTTAGAAAGTCTTACATTATGAAACGGTGGAAGTACAAATTTGGCTTGCCACATTTTAATGAGTTTAGGGTCTACATGTCATCCACTTAATTTTAGGGCTAAACTTGTCACACTTGTACTTGTTATTCACAATTTCATGACTATGCTTTTGCTCCATGCTACAACATATTGCCGTACATACCTAAGGTGGGTTATGGCAAGGTTACACATCGACCAAAAACTCCCGTCGTACATTATCTTAATGTTGGTGTTAGTTGGGTAGTCGTCCCAATAAGAACACTTTGGTATGAGATTAGGAGATTCGCACGCCCGGTCACACTGCGTACGTACACGCTTGCAAGTGTGCGCTGTTTAACACATGCTCAAAGAGGCATAGACTAACGGCAAAACCCTGACCTCATTAAGTTTCGATAATTCTTACCAAATGTTTTCCAGAGTGTGTATAATGTTTCTAGTCATTGTGAAATTAAAGTATGTTTTTTATTATTAATTTGTGATGAACAATTAACATATGAGATAATTGATTTTAATATTTGATAGATAATTGGCGAAGTGGTTCTGACTGTGTGGGGCCAGTTGATCAGATGAACTAAGCTGGCCAGACCGGCGTGCAATACGCGGTCAGACCGGCCAGCCAAACGGTCTAATCGGTTGGTTTATGATTGGTGTCGATTTCGGTTTGTCTATTTGGATATTCGTGATTATCTCGTGATCATGACTTCTAGATGATTTCTATATGTGCGTAATAATGTTGTGTACTAATGTTGAGTCAAGTTGGATAGAACTTGTGCTCGGATATAGTTTCTTGTTTGATTCATGTGTAGATGTATCTTGATGCTTTAGAAGAGCATTGCGAGTGATGGATCGGGAGTCAACTTGGGAGAAGATGACATCCGAACGATTTGGATATCATGTGGGATGCTTAGGCTAAAGAACAATGCACGTGGTTAATAGAGATTCCATGTGTCATATGATGGGAGATTGTGTGCATATGGAAAGCGGAGTCACATTTGGAAGGAGTCTAAATTTGGAAAGATTGGAATTCGAATTGAAGCAGATAAGTTTGTTTCTTGTACGGGAAGATTTTCTAGTGGATTAAGGCTTCTTGTATAAGTTAGATTGGTGACTTTAGACTTCCTACCTCGGGTATAAATAGAGAGAGGGGTGAGGCCTCTTATAATCGATTTTGTGTGAGTTGAGTTTAATAAAGTTATGGTTTCGAGTTTAGTCGAATTTTGTAAGAGGGGTGCTATTGTTGCACTTTTTAAACACGAATAGAAGTAATAAAGTTCAATATACTATTTAGATATGTTCAATTTATGTTTGCTTGAGTACAGCGATCAGACCAACAGATCTAGGGTTGTCAGACCGGTTGCGACGATAGGCGTCGACGGCTCAATGTGCGGTCAGGCAGGCACGACCACACTGGTCAGACCGGTCATAACAGAGATTCAACGTGGTTAGACCGATCTCCATCAACTTCGAGGATAACGTTTAATTCAGCTAAAAGTTTTTCATTTTTTGTGTCACTACCATTCAAACCCCCCCCTCCTATGGTAGGTTTAGTTTCTTATTGTTCGATCCTACAGTCACCAGAATTAAAATTTTGGTGAGCGAAGTCATGCATCCATGACTATACCACCGCACTTTCACTGCTTCCCCTGTCACGAAATATGGAACTCCAAGGAAATGTGGAATCATGAAATAAATCCTACAACTTCTAGTATATGGATTAAAAATTAAACGTTTGCTTCATGGCAAATTGAGCATTTATGCAAAATATACTATCACCGTGTTTAGTTTTAAAGTTTTTCATCAAACTTCCAACTTTTCTATCACATCAAAATTTTCCTACACACACAAACTTCCAACTTTTTCGATACATCGTTTCAATTTCAACTGAACTTTCAATTTTGGTGTGAACTAAACACAGCCTATATATGACGTTCCTCGAAAAAAAATACATTCAATGTGTACCATGTGGTTGGAAAGAAATAAATGAAATATGAAGTATATTTAATGTGTAGTACTATGTGGTTCAAACAAATAAATCTTAGCATCATTAATTGATTATATTGAGCATTTATGTACTTTATGGAGTATCATTTAATATATTGAATGTGGAGAGTTATTTAATTAATTCAAGAGTTGTATGTTCACTCTATTTAAGCGAAGGACGACTGAGAACTGCAAGTCTGCAACCATATATAGAAATCAAGAGAAATCAAAGTGTGATAGCTAGCCTTAACTCTGCTCATGGCTCTTCTGAAGTGCAATGGCTCAAGGGCTTCGTCCCTAGTGACCCTCCTGCTGATTGCAGCTCTGCTCTTTCCAGCTGTTTGCTACGCACGTAATTAATTCAGCAATTTTCTTCTGTTTTTTTATTCTTTTTAAATTTGATATGTTCTTCGCATCTCTTCATCGAAATTTCCCTCTGAGGAAAAGATCATCAAAATTAATTAATTAATCAATTAACCTAGCTCTGTACCCAACTGGTTTCACAGATGTTGAGGCGAAGACAGTGTGCCAGAAGACGGAATACGGGTGCACGCAGGAGAAATGCCACCAGATGTGCCTGGGTGACGGCCGGACGGTAGCATCTCAGTATTGCAGGCATTATGATACCCAATGCTGTTGCACTTATGAGCTTCAAGCAAATGACAACGATAAGATGGATGATGGCCGGCTTCATGCTTAGTTAATTAGAATATCGCCAATTTATCTCCTGCATGTTTTACTAGCTATGCGTAGATCTGCGTGATGCAGATCCAATAAAGTTGGTATATATGGTTAATCCTAGAAAAAATAATGTTGGTCTTGTTGTCAAGGAGTTAATTTCATGATCAATGCACAACTACCTCCCTAAAAAAAAAACAATCATCGTGTGTTCAGGTTCATTGTTAAGATTGGTCTTTGTTTTTTTGGATGGAATATTAGTTGGTAACTCATGCATTGGCATAGGCATGTATAGCTATATAGTTGTCTTGGAGTCTTAATTTTATTATTATTTTTAACAAAAATAGGAATTATGTGAAAGTTATTTGCATGAATTATATTTAGTTCCAAGGAGTTAGATTGGTTTACTAATTTTATGTTCTTTGGTATCATGCATACTACTCTTTTTTTTCCTTTCCTTGTTATTATCTCCATTCAGAATCCTTTATATTTTGGAACGGATGTGGTACATTTTAAGCCCTACCAAATCCCAGAGAGAACAATATTAATAATATAGTGTAGTACTCACTTGGTTAGAATTTTCAGGTTATTTATCAAAGATTGAGTATGTAAAGAAAAATATTCTCTTTTATCATCTCATTGGTAAAATTTTAAATTTTGAGTTAACTGCATTTCTCTCCTAAGCACCTAATTGGCTGAAAATGCATGGATTCCGTGCATTAGAATCAATGTCCTAGAAATACTCTCTATGTTCTAAATTATCAATATCTCTAGGATTCAAACATTCATACCATAATATAAACATTTATATGACACCGATTCCAAATACTCAGATGTCCAAATATTTTCAACCAATTGTAAACTTGGGAAGAGAAGAAAATGAAAATGTAAAATTTAACTAATGATGTTACTGAAAAGGAATATATTCCCTCGGTCTTAATCTTTACTAAACAAACTAGGAAATGGTTATATTTTGAAAAGGAGGGAACGCTTATATTGTATACGAAATTTGATAGTAGAAATGCTTATGTTTCAGAATAGATGGAGTTGTAGGCTACACTATTTGCTGTAAATGCAATTGTCAGTTTTCCTTTTTGTGGGCATTAAATCTGAGGAAATACAATCAACATGTTTCTCCGTTCGGCCTTTCGTGTCCTACTACTAATGAGGCCGAAAACATTGGCAGCCCACGGAACGCTCGGGCCAAGTACGTAGCCATGGCTGGCACGCCCACAGCACAACCAAATAGACCGCCCGGCATGGCCAGAGGGTCGTGCCGGGCTATGCCCGCTCACGGCCTGCACCTACAGCCTAGACACGATCCAATATGGATCGGGTTGTGCCATGCCGGTCGGAAGGCACGATAAGCCCACCGCGCTCGTCATTGAATACGTCTAATTTGCGTCCCTCATGTCTTTGGGTCGTACTTTGTATGGTTAGAACAAGTGCCTTGTATAGACCGCACCATGGACCGGGCCGCCGTGCCTTATATATAATGCACGCGCGCAAGCGCATATGGATTTGTGGATCCAGCCCAGAGACAAAGCTTGGGCCAGCCTATACTAATTTACTACTTCCTCTATCCCAAAATATAGTTACCTAGTATAGGATGTGACGTTACCTAGTACTACACAGCCTCCTGTCCAGATTCGTATTACTAGGTAATATCACATCATGTACTAGGTACTCCCTCCGTCCCATTTTAAGTGTAACTATAAGTTTACACGTCTAATTTTGATCGTCTGTTTTATTTAAAATATTTTTACAATTAGTATTTTTATTGTTATGATATGATAAAACATGAATAGTACTTTACTCGTGACTTATATTTTCAATTTTTTTCAAATAAGACGAACGATCGAAGTTGGGCGCGGAAAACCATGGCTGCACTTAAAATAGGACGAAAGGAGTAGCTACATTTTGGGATGGAAGAAGTATCATCTCGACTCATCATGGTGAAAAAAAATCTTAGTCAATGGACTTTAAATCTTGGGTTAATTGGATCCATACCACTGCAACTTTGCTAAATTAAAAAAATACCACTACTATTCATCATATCGGCTGGGTGCCACTGAAAATTTCAAAAATTGGATCCATGCCATTCCTGTCACTTTTTCCGTCTCATCTCTCACATCGTCTCATCCTCATCCCCTCCACACCGTACGACGGCCGGCACGAGCGGAGGACAGGTCGGTGCGGTCACTGCCGGGCCTAGTGGGGTCTCTCTGGTGCGGTCTCCGGTGCCGAGCTCCCTCGCCGCCACCGCCGAGCTCCCTCACCGCGGTCGAGCTCCTTCGCCGCCACCCAGGTCAGCCTCGCCGTTGACGACACTGACAGCGGAAGCCACCTCACGGGCGTCGACTCGGCGACCATCGTGTTGTCGGGGCATGCGACGAGGAAGCCGAGGCATCCAAGGAGGAGGCGGCAGAGTGGGCCGCGGCTGCGCCGCCGTCTCCGGCCGGTGGCGTCGGCGTCCCTGGCCGAGGGCACGCGCGACGAGGTCCTTGCAGCGGCGAATGACCGGCGAGGCGACGAGGAGCAGCTGCATCGCTCCCCTGCGGCATCCTCAACCGCCGTCGTGGCATGGGGGCCGCTCCGCACGGGATTCCGGCCGCCACTTGCGCGCCTGCGCCACCACGAGAACCCTGAGTCGCCTCCGCTGCTCGCGCCTGCGTCGGTGTCGTTGCCGAAGCCGAAGTCGGTGGTGGTGTCCTCTGGCTCGGTCCTTAGACGCGGAGAGACGGCATCAACAGGAGTGGATGGAAAATGCGACGGAGTGGCATGGATCCAATTTTCTAAAATTGCAGTGGCACCCAGCAGCGATATGATGGATAGTAGTGGTATTTTTTTAATTTGGTAAAGTTGCAGTGGTATGGAACCAATTAACCCTTAAATCTTAGGCTCTAGGTCATGGCCTAGAATGCCCGCTGATATCAGCCAATTCATTTTTTTGACTTGCTGAGGAAGAATTTGCAAATTAATAAAACCGGGTGGACGAATTTTCCATCTCCAGGGGAAAAGACTATCATCTCCTACCAGATAAATTCCTAATTCACCTTTTGGGGCTTCCACTCTTGTTTTGACAATTCAAAATTGGGTGAAGGTTTTTTACCAAGAAATCGATATTCAAAATCATTCCATTTGGAATTCTTTGCTTTCTTAAAGCGTCGGACTTCTAAATTCTCATAAGGGCTCCCAGGAATTTTTTCTACAGCCTGTTGAATAATTTTGATTGATTCCCTCGTTTCACCGATTCGTACTAAATAGCGTGCTAATGAATCCCCTTCTTTTTGCCATTGGATTTTCCAATCGAATTGATTGTAAGACTCGTAAAGATCAACTTTACGAAGATCCCATTGTATTCCAGAAGCTCGTAACATGGGGCCCAATAAGCCCCAATTTACAGCTTTTTCTCCGCTAATAAAACCAACTCCCTCAACTCGTTCCAAAAAAATGGGGGGATCTAGGTCCACCCCCAGTGCCCCACAGTCCCACTCCGCTGGCGGCGAGCGAGCCTTGAGCGGATGGATGCCATGGTAGGATGGGTCACCACTTCAACCGTCTCCCATGTATGCAAGCGGCCAGCACAATATCGGTGAATGGTCTGTCTCCTCTGTCATCCACACGCGATTATTGAACGGATTATTGTCATGGGTTTTCTAACCTACGGTAAATAACCTATTTTAATGATCTGGTGAGTAAAGGTGAAAAGAACGAGACGAGCTATGTGCAATGTGCTGGAAGAACACGCTTTTTTTTTTCCTGTAGCGATCAATTGCCGTGTTTCTCCCTTGGCTTAGCTGTGCCTGTGCTGGACTGGATGAATTGAAAGTGTGTAGACAATGGATCCTGGAGTGGAAGACGGATGTTGACTCGCAGACGAAAAGAAAATCGTTGGTTGCGTCACCGCGTTGCTCAAACGGTTTTTGAGTCCAGTCCAGCTGTGTGGGGGTCAATATCTATGGCCATATATTTCATCCTGGTTTTTTCGCATTTTAGCTATTCTAAAAATATGTTTGTCATACAAATGAAGTCCCAAAAAAACCTTATTCTGAAAATTAATTGATTTAATGAAAATTTTTAGGATCCATGATGAACACTAGAGTAAAATACAGAATTTAGGATAGTAATTTTTCAGGTGTATAATGTTGTGGCCGAGATATTGGGTACCAATATGTATTCTCCACGTATTTTCCCTTCTCAAATAATTATATTCTTCCAATCATTTTCATCTACTCCTTTTATCCTTTTTAGAATGAGGTATACTAAATCTTTTGATATTACTTTACTATCCTTTTCTTCTCGTTTTGACTGTACTCCCTTCTACTTATTATCATACTCTCTACACTAAGGGGGTGTTTGGGACAGTCCCAAACACCCCCTAAATAGAGGAGATAGTAATCTTTTAGTATCTTGGTTGATATGCCTTTTACTTTATAAAACAACAATATTTTTAGGACAAAAGAATCACTTTCTTAATTTCCATAAAACCTCCAAAAATTACTTACATTTTAGAACGAATTCTGCATTGTTAGTCCACCACTAATAAGGCTGAGTTTAGTTTCAAAATTTTTCTTCAAACTTTCAACTTTTCCATCACATCAAAACTTTACTACACATATAAACTTCTAACTTTTCCATCACATCGTTCCAATTTCAAACAAACTTTCAATTTTAACGTAAACTAAACAAATCTTAAGTATGCTTGGTGTACAGACGAGTTCCGCTCAGTTTGTTTGTGATGGTTCCCAACCTCTCCTTCTCGATTTCCGCACGCACGTTTTTTAAACTACTATTTTGGTGTGTTTTTTCAAAAAGTTTCTATACGAAAGTTGTTTTAAAAAAATCATATTGTTCTATTTTTTAAAAAAAAATTAACTAATACTTAATTAATCACGTGGATCGTACCATTTTCCCGTGCTAGATCCAAACGTTCCCAACGTGCTCTCTCGAACAGAGCCTCGACCCTTGGCTTTCAGTTACTTCCAATGGCCAAAAGCGAGTCTTCGTGCATAAGGAATGTCGGTAGTAACGCGGTTGATGATCGTGTAGAATATTCGAGCTGCTATCGAAGAATCGAGTGATGACCATTCATTAGTGATTCTTTTTCCTTGTAAATGATTGCGCACATCGAGCTCAAAAGTGACTTTCCTCTGTTCATTTTTGTCAACAAAGTTTTCGTGTGTAGGTGAGGGTAAGCTTAGCACTCACCGCTCAGCGCAGTGAGGACCAACCGAAATTGATAAGGGATAGTATAGGTTTGTCAAGTCAGGGTTCTTTCTGAAGATTTCATGGATGATAATGTTCTGAAAGTCCGGCACGGATGCAGGCTCAGTGACCGAACGTTTCAAGCTCAGTTTCAGGTTTTTCTTCTGAAACTAATACACCCGGATGAGTTCGGATGGAATTTCCACTGGAGCCAGAACTTAAACTACAAGGCATTAATTAATATTCTATCACATATTCCTTCCGTCTCAGAATATGTTACATCCTATATTAGGCCCCATTTGATTCAAAGAAAATTCATAGAAATTTTAGAGGATTTTATTTCTATAGGAATTTTTCCTACAAAGCCCTTTAAATTAAAGGAATGAACCCTATGAAATCCTATAAAATTTATATGGAATGCCTCTTCCCATACAAGTTTTGGAGGAATTTTAAGAAGAGGTAGAACCTCATGGAAAAAATCATTTGAGTCTTTATCTCTCCTCAAATTCCTGTGTTTTTCCTGTGGTCCAATCAAACGGTCATTCCTACGTTATTCCTGTGTTTTGCAATCCTCTGTTTTACACTTACATTCCTGCCAGAATCCTATGTTTTTTTCTATTCCTCTGTTTTTTCATTCCTATGATTCAAAGGGACCCTTAAACTAAATTATTCTAGGATAGACCTATCCAAATTCATAGTATCATATCTCACACTAGATTAATTTATTCTGAGACAGATGTAGTATTTACTCGCTACTCACACAAATATAAGCATTTGTGAGGTATAAGTTCTCCAATATATCCAACCACCATTCATATTGTAAAGGTATCAAAATTATTTCATCTTAGCTTTAAATTTTTCTTTTGCTAAAACTTATAAGATTCTTCTATCTACGGATGGAGGGTGCATATGAGACAACAACATTTAGCTCTCTTGTCCCTCAAACCATTGAAAAAATTACAGGCTCATCGTTTCGTCTAATTATAAATCATAACACATTATTCGTAAAATAATAATTTATAAGTAAAACTTTTATATATGTATTTCAATACTATAAATAAATTATGACTCTAAAATTTAAACTTAAAATTAAAATTTTGGTTATGGCTAATAGGCTAAAGGGCAACAACAAAAGAGAGAACAGAAAATGATACATTTAACTTTAACTTCCTCGTTTTCCGTTAGCACACTTTTCAAACTGTTAATTGGTGTGTTTTTAAAAAATAGTTTCTATATAGAAGTTGTTTTGAAAAAGCAAATAAATCCATTTTGTAATTCATAATAGTTAATACTTAATTAATCATATGCTTAATAAGATTTTTCGTTTTGCGTGCAACAAAAATTTATCTCCAAAACAGTGAGTAGTAAGTAAAACAAAACAGTGCAGCTGTGCACGGCTGGCATTGGCAATCTAGGAGCAGTGTGCTTGCAGTTTTGCACTCCCTGGAAAGAAAGAAGAAAAACAAGAGGAGGATTTCCCCCACAAGAATAGCTCAAACCTGTCTGCATGCATGTCTGTCTGCACTCTGCATCCATCCATCCATCCATCCATCCCCGGGCAGACACGGATTCAGACGCGCAAGAAATCTCCCTCACCTTTACTTGCAAACATATACCCACAAATCTCTCTCTCTCGCCCGCTTGTCTTGTCTGACTTCTTGTTGCCTCTTGCCTCCTTCTTCTTCTTCTTCGTCTTCGTCGTCGCGAAATACAGGCGTGTGGGGCGAGAGTGATCAGGTGGCAGCTGGGTGTTTCTTCTTCTTCTTCTTCAGCTCGAGTTCTTCCTTAGCCATGGCGCTCCTGCTGCTGCGTATGGGCGTCTCCGTCGCGCTGCTCGTCGCCTTCTTCTCCTCTCTGATTCCGTCGTCAGGTCGGTGCCTGTGCCTGTGCCTCTGCATTTCCCATTGGTTCTTGCAGTACTATTTGGATTTCGGTTCTTGGTTCTCAGGTTGTTCTTCTCCGGTTGATTCATTCACGCCTAAATTTTTGCGTCTTTTTTTTGGGTGCCGTGTGCTGTATGATTCGTCTGTAAGGATTCCGGAGTTTTTTTTTTTTTGGTGTTGTTTTTTTTTTCTTCTTATTTTACTCTATTCGGAGAAAATTTCTCTTCCCCATCGTAGCGCGATTATCGTGATCAAAATGGATGTGACAATAAAGGAATGAGCTGTTTTCCGTTTACCTCATTAAAGATTTTAATTTGGTGTTTATGACCTTTCCAAAATGGACAATTAAGAGTCATGAATACCAAATTTAAATTTTTATTGTTGTATATGCGTGGTGCGATGGGTTTTGCTCATAGTATATGTTTGTTTGTTTCGGATCATATGTCAAAACAAACTATTTCTGTTTAGTTCATGATCAGGTTTTAATCCATTTTTCCAAAAAAAAATGTCAAAGCAAACTGAACATGTAGCGAGTGTGTGCATATTATTTCTGTTAGAGCTCAGAGCGAAGAATCAGCCTTATGTGTCGCGTCATGCTACAATCGTGATCTTTTCTTGTTACGTACTACTATATGTTGTTAACACAAATATTATAATCACTGAAGCTATTGGCACAAATCACTATTATGTTTCATGTATGTCTATTCATCTGAACTGTGATCCTGATCATGCACAAGATGATAAAGTTCGATCCTTTATCTTCACATGCATGATTAACCATCAAAGATGAGATGTGCCCTACCAAAACGTTCTTCAATCTGGATGTATCACTAAATTCTGACTTGTTTCTTGATACATTATGCAGAGGCATACGATCCGCTTGATCCAAATGGGAACATAACAATCAAGTGGGATGTGCTGCAATGGACTCCAGATGGATATGTTGTGAGTAAACCTTAATTTACTATTATGTGTCTGTAACTACTTTATTACCATTATCATCTATCAACCAACTCAATGCATGTCGCTGTTGCCACATGAGTCCACATCTGCTTTCATCAATCTCTGCACATTAGTACTCTGTCTTGTTGGCAGATTGACGCTTCACTGTCTCTCTTTTGTAACTGAAACACTGAAAGTAGTGGCCTTTCGTTAAATTTCCATTCATGCCACTTTTTTAGCTTTTGACTTTCTTGATAAACTTACAACTGGCATGACCAAATACTGGTGCATCGATGCTTGCAATCCATGGTTGCTGGTCAAAGACATGACATCACGACACAAATCTATTTTCTTTGTATTTATCTATTTTATCTGTTAGACTGTTACTTATAGGTGCTCTGAACTGTTGATCTTGATTAATATCAGTACTCACAAGACATAACACAAACCTTACATAAACTCAATTTTGTTGCATTTTGAACTAGTCAAGACCAAATCTTTGCACTATCTCTTATCTTCAGTGTATTTTTACACAATTCAGAAAACTGTCAACCTGCACAAAATTCCCTTCCTGCCTTCCTGGTTCACAGGACTTGTGATTAGTTGCTGAGATAATGTTAAAAATCCATTTTCTCCAGGCTGTTGTTTCACTATACAACTATCAGCAGTATCGACACATTCAATCACCCGGATGGAAACTCGGATGGGTGTGGGCAAAGAAGGAGATAATCTGGGCGATGAACGGCGGCCAAGCGACGGAGCAAGGCGACTGCTCAAAGTTCAAATCAAATATCCCACATTGCTGCAAGAAAGATCCTGAGATCGTGGACCTGCTCCCGGGAACCCCTTACAACATGCAGATTGCCAACTGCTGCAAGGGAGGAGTGCTCAACTCGTGGGCACAGGACCCTGCAAATGCCATAGCATCATTCCAAGTCAGTGTTGGTCAGGCAGGGACGACGAACAAGACGGTGCGGGTGCCGAGAAATTTCACCCTGAAATCTCCAGGTCCAGGGTATACCTGTGGCAGTGCCAAGGTTGTGAGACCTACCAAGTTTTTTTCGCAGGATGGAAGGAGAACAACTCAGGCTCACAGTAAGATTTTTTTCTGAAGTTTCCATGATCTTAGTATTTGCCGTGCAAAGTAGTTCAGGGATGAGCTTACAATCTATTGCAACAGATTCAGAATTGTTCTTGTTTCGATACTGCCTTTTCGTGCATCATCGGTGACCGCTTGATTTCTTTTGTGCAGTGACATGGAATGTGACTTGCACATATTCACAGATTGTCGCGCAAAGATCTCCGACGTGCTGCGTTTCGCTCTCGTCTTTTTACAATGATACCATAGTTAACTGCCCAACATGCTCATGTGGCTGCCAGAATAATAAACCAGGAAGCTGTGTAGAGTAAGTTACATTAACATGACAAAACTACTCAAAATCAGTTTTATGTTCAGTTAACATGACTGTTGCAACGTACTGTTTGACAGGGGAAATTCTCCTTATTTGGCTTCTGTTGTGAACACCCATAACAAGGACAGCTTGACACCTCTAGTCCAGTGCACTTCTCATATGTGCCCAATAAGAGTTCATTGGCATGTGAAGGTTAACTACAAGGAGTACTGGAGGGTCAAGATCACAGTGACAAACTTCAATTACAGGATGAACTACTCTCAGTGGAACCTAGTCACTCAGCACCCCAGTTTTGACAATCTGACAACCATTTTCAGCTTCAACTACAAATCTTTGAACCCATATGGAGTAATAAGTAAGCCCTGAAAACAATTCTACTCATGTGGTTAATTATTTTTCAGATATTTACTGTTTCTTTTTTCAGATGATACCGCGATGTTATGGGGAATCAAGTACTACAATGACTTGCTCATGACGGCGGGTCCAGATGGAAATGTTCAGTCTGAGCTTCTGTTCAAGAAGGACCCCAAGAGTTTCACCTTTGAGAAAGGCTGGGCCTTCCCAAGACGTGTATACTTCAATGGTGACAACTGTGTGATGCCACCACCAGATGCATATCCATGGCTGCCAAATGCTTCAACAAGAGTGATGTCTTCAATTCTCCTTCCATTCATTACCATTTGGACAGCACTGACATTCTTGATGGTTTACGCATAGTGAAAGGAAATCGTAATTTTACGTATTCAGGAAAGTTTTGACCTTGTTGTGCATTACAAAGTTTTAGATGATATGTTGCATGAAGAGAAGATTCAGTGCAGATACCTAACCATAAACCGTCGTTGATCATTGTATAAACTTACTTGTATACATTTAATCTCAGACAAGATAAGATGCAAACACAGTACTTCTTAAGGAATTTTATCCTCTCTTCCTTTATGAACCTTCACACATTTATCAGATGAGCATGTACTGCAAAATGAAGTTAGTTGATTTTTCCTATGATCATATATGAAAACTAACAGCTCATTTCAGATGCAACATCAGCATTCAGTGAACAAGAGACAAATGCTACTGATGTAACTGACTTCAGTCAGAGAATGTGAAACGTCATTGTCGCCTCATTCCATCCTGATTGAGTGATTGTGTCGTACAAATATGTTCCCAAAATTATGCTCATATCCCCTCCACTTACAGAATTTTTTTACCATTCAAAAACAAGATTTTTTTTTAAAAAAAAAACAATTTTTCCCAGTATGTTCAGAACATCAAAACACAAATCATATTCAGACCAAAACCATCCTCCTATCTGCTAATTCTGCTGCAGGTTCTAAGCACTACGCCATGAGGAAGAACACCAAGGCCGCCATGGCCACCGCGGAGCCGACGAGCGACGCCGCCGCCGGGGGAGCGGCGTTGGGCAGGTAAGGGTAGGAGTCCGGCGGCGGCATCTGGCACTCGTCGCCGTTGAAGTAGACCTTCCTCGGGAACGCCCATCCCTGCCTGAACGTGAACGTCCTCGCGTCCTTCCTCATCAGCACCTCCGACTGCACGTTCCCGTGCGGCCCGGCCTCCATCAGCTGGTCGTTGAAGTACTTCAGCCCATAGAACATCGCCGTATCATCTGCAAAAACCAAAATCCACATCCAATTCACATCCAATTCGCATCAAGGGCCGTGTTTAGTTCGTTTTCAAAAATAATTTTTAAAGTATACGGACATACATTTAAAGTATTAAACGTAGACTAATAACAAAATAAATTACAAATTCTGCCTATAAACTGCGAGACGAATCTATTAAGCCTAATAAGTCCGTCATTAGTAAATGTTTACTGTAACACCACATTGTCAAATCATGACGTAATTAGGCTCAATATATTCGTCTCGCAATTTACATGCAAACTGTGCAGTTGGATTTTTTTTTCGTCCACATTTAATGCTCCATGCATATGTTAAACATTTGATATGACGGAATTTTTGGAAGTTTGAAGTGAACTAGAAACAGCCAAGATCACAGAAATTCGCATGAAATACTTACTGATGGAGCCGTAGGAGACGACGGGCTTGTAGTCGAAGCTGAAGACCTCGGTGATGTTGTCGAGGTTGGGGTGCTGGGCAACGAGCGTCCACCCGGTGTAGTTCATCCGGTAGTTGAAGTTGACGATGGTGATCTTGGCGCGCCAGTACTCCCTGTAGTTGAGCTTCACGTGCCAGTGCACCCTCACCGGGCACATGTGCGTCGTGCACTGCAGCAGCGGCGCCGCCATTGCCGCCGCCGCGACGCCGTTGCCGCGCCCGTGCGCGTTCGCGTTCGCGTCGTGCTTCTTCCCCGTCACCGCCAGCCTCTTCCCGTCCCTCTCGCTCCTGCACACATCACGGCGAGAGAACGCGGTCAGTTCGTCGTCGGCGGCGGCGGCGGCGGCGGCGCGGCGCGCGTACGTACCGGACGCAGGGCTTGTGGGCGTCGCAGCCGCAGGCGCACTTGGCGCAGGGGACGATGGTGTCGTTGTAGAAGGAGGAGAAGGAGACGCAGCACGACGGGTACTTGGACGCCAGGTGCTGCGAGTACGTGCACGTCACGTTCCACGTCACTGCACACAAGCATGACATCATCAATGGCGGCGCCGGCGACGAAGACGAAGGTGTAGTCAACTTACTGAGGGCTTGGGTCTTGCGGCGGCGATCGGCGGTGAGGAAGACGGTGGAGGGGACGACCCTGGCGCGGCCACAGGTGTAGCCGGGGCCGGGGCCGAGGAGGGTGAAGTTCCTGGGGAGCCTGACGGTGCGGTTGGTGGTGCCGGCCTGGCCGACGCTGACCTGGAACGCGGCGGCGGCGGCGGAGGGGGCCTGGCCGTACGCCGGGAGGACGCCGCCCCGGCAGCAGTTGGCGATCTGCTGGTTGTAGGGGACGCCGGGGAGGAGGTCCACGACGGCGGGCGTCCGGCGGCAGCAGTGTGGGAGGTTGGCCTTGAAGCGGGAGCAGTCGCCCTGGTCCGTGGCCTGCGCGCCCACCATGGACCAGATCACCTCCTGCCGCGCCCACGTCCACCCCACCGTCCACCCCGGCGCCATTATCTGACGGTATGTCTGGTAGTTGTTGATCGTCACCATCGCCTGCATATCATATTATTGCACCCATCAGTTCATTCATCAGTTCGTCGATGACGAGCTTGACATGATGATCATATATATTTAATGGTAAAAGTTTTCTTTATTGGTTTTGCTATATATTTATCAAAAGAAATTGTCTAATATAAATACAGTATAATTATAGTGTAGTTACACTATAACTTGTATATATGTAAGTATGCAACTGCAATGTAATTTTCGCACACGCACAGGTGAGGAGATTCGGTCTCACGACCTCTGTTTGGCAAAAATAGCTTGTTACTGTGATATTTTTAGAAGTTGCATACAAATTGTACGTACTTACGTACGAGTTACAAAGTAATTTTACTATGATTATACTATATTTATATCTGATAAATTTTTAGAAGAAAACTGAACGACAAATATATAGCTAGTTCGAAAAAAAAAGTACTTACGACGTATCCGTCGGGTGTCCACGACATGACGTCCCATTTGATGGTGATGTTGCCGTTGGGGTCGAGCGGATCATAAGCAACTACAGAGTATTACATTTGCATCGATGATCAGAAGCAAGATTAGAAGAAGAGATATGATGAAGATTCAGGCACCGATCGATCGAAAGACGTACCAGCGACAGAGAGCGTGGCGGCGAGGATGAGGAGCAGAAGGGAGCCGAGCACCGCCATTGCTGCGAGCTGCTGCTTTGCAACAAGCTACAAACACTAACTAGACCTGCATTGGGGTGATGAGGGAGAAGACAGTCGCAATGCTGGGCTTTAAGGCAAAGTAGAGGCAGCTGCAGCGGCGGCGGCGGGGAGCGGACGAGAGATGGCAAAGCGCCACCAACCGGTGGCTGTGCTTTAGTTTCCTTGGCGATGACGAGACCGGCCGGCACGGCTAGCGACGGCGGCCGCGACCCGTACGTGGCTGGCTGACCCTTTTTCTGCCGGTGAGTGCGTGGCTCGTCGTCTCTGGGTTGCTTGCGGTTGAGTTCCTCTCTGCTCAAGCAAGCGTGGTTGGTGGTGGTGATCAGATCACTTGGGGGAAGTGAGTGGGAGTAGGAGGCGAGAGGGAGAAGAAGATCGTGTATGATCGTGCTGCTTCCGGCCTTCGATCGCGACGGTTAAACGCCTCGCCGATCTCCCTGACACAGCTTTCGATTTGTGCAAACAATAAATATTCCATTTTGCTATATATTTGTCGACGAACCTTCATGTGATTTGTATGTAATTACATTATAATTTTGAACCTTCCGATTTGGTTGTGTGTGCAAGGAGGTATCGCAACCGACACACATACGAGGGGATTCAGTACGTTATCTCGAGGGGATTCAGTACGTTATCTCCATTTTCACGTAATTAACATGTCTTCTAAAAATTTTTGAAAGTTACACTGTAATTACATTATTTTTTTAGTTAAAATGTATAGCTAATACTACTATTGGATTGACATTTGTTCAGGTAATTCACAATTCCTCTTCGTAAACTGGAGACGTTCTGAGCTGTTGTTGTATGATAGCCTGATTTGGAACTTTAAAAAAAAAAACCACGTTCTTGTTTCATGCCGTCTCTCTAATAAATGACAGGCTCTGAGCTTGATTTCCCTGCTATAATACATGTCCATCAGTACCGTGCCGTGTTTCAGTTCTAAAAACCTACTGGGAAATTGGACTCACTGTATCAATTCTTGCCAGATTACAGGGTTAACTTCAGATAACCCTGCTTAGCATTGGTTGTTCAGCGTTTTAGAAAGCTTAATGTTGTTATGCGTCGTGTCATAGTAGTAGCACAACGTAACAAAGGAAATTCTAGAATCTCTTTTGTAGCCTGTTCATGCTGCATCGTCAACTTTGGGGCAGTCAAGCATTCGCTTGAACGGTACGACAGATGATCCGAGCAGAAAGATCACTAACAAATGTAAGCATCAACCAGTAGTTGCAATGTAAACATACCTGACTGCCTGTACAAAGCTGACGCTAAGCAGCCACCAGACACATACACTGGCTGCCCCGGGCAAGTTGTTGAACAAAAGCATCAGGTACACAGAAAAATATATTCATGTTCTGAACAAAAGCCTCAGGTACACTTGTATAGTCCACAAACAAGTTTGCAGTGCACACTTCTTGTTTTTGCACCTGCTGATCGAGAAGCGGATCAGTGGGAAGACAGGATGCATAACTTCCACATCCTAACTCAAAAGTGTCAAAACTTTATAAGCCAGCTTGAAGCATAAGTTGAGGCTTTTTAAGAGCCCAGTACACTGAATGACAAGAATGCTATAGGTTATTACTGCTACTGCTACATCATTTGCAAAGTTGCAAAACATACCATGGTAAATTAAAACGGATCACAGCCTCACATACATTATGACATTATTAATACATATAAGAGCCAGGGGCCAAGACCTTCCTCTGTGGGAGGTTTATAGCCCTAGAAACAAGTCGTGCGCACGCATGAGTTCGTCAAATAAGCATTCCATCTCGCTCTGATGTAGCTTTTTTTTCCAGACTACCCAAAATCTCTGCCTGAGCTTCAGTGCACTCAGCCATCCTGCGATTCTGTGGAGCAGACATAGTTCAGAACATGGCTCATGAACAGTGATTTGTGGATGATGCGTGACAGGTGCAACTACGAAATTGAAAGCATACAGGACTAACATATGCATGCATAATCACCGCAGCAAAAAAACAAAAGCGAAAATGTTAGCAAATAACCAAACAGCACAGAGATGAACCATGCGCCCAATCTTTTCTAACAGAGAATCTCAATAAAATTGAGAAAAAAAATCCCATACATCTTTTATGGCTATCAAGCGCAGTCAGAACTGGCCAAACTACTTCTGATTCTAGACTTTACAACTGGGATTGTTAACTCACCCATGCACATTTGACTTCACAAGTAATATAGATACACCCACTGAAAAGAACAGCATCAGTAAATATATAATCAATGAACAGTTATCCCATCATCCTATGATTGTCTCGGTGGCTGGTATAGTGGAAGAACATAAGATAAGTCATAGCTTTTAAGCACAGCAAACAGCTCAATTTTCAATTTCAGTATCTACCATTGACGGCTTGTCCTTACACCAGCTTTGCTATTTATGAAGTTGATGAACAGGGACCTAATGGATCAAGAAGAGCGAATACTTACTGAACTGAAATAACTAGGCCTAAATAACCAAAATTTCAGCCAAACCATGATTCATACTTTCACATCAATGTGACAATGGCTCCACTCCTGCTATGTTTGAATAGGATTACCAAGCTTAGACAGGAAGAAAGGTGACGCCAGCTTAGCACTTGTTGGTGCCTGGCAGAAAATATCACATCGAGAAGAACATGACAAAGGAAAAAAAAGAATAGAGAAGTAACAGCAGCCTTTAGCTCCATGAATGGGAACAAAAGAAGGCAGCAGGGGAAGAGCAGTGGAGGAGCTAATGAGGGACAGAGAAGCAACAGCAAGAGGGTGAGTTGCAGGGATGACAAAGATGGCGTTAGCGCTGTGGGAGGACAGGAGAACTGTCCTCCCTCTTGTAGGCTGTTTGGGCCTTGGAGGCTGCCTTCCCAGAATTTATTATTTCCCTTCTTTTCACCTTACCTCTCATCTTGCTCACTTGTGAGGTCGCATCCTCCTTACGTTGATTTTACTAGTAGATGGCTTAGCTTTGATTTTGCACACGTGTTCTAACATGCACCTTAAAGAAGTAAATCAGCCCAACTTCCAGATGGACATGTAAAATAAAACTCATCACAAATACAAATCAGCCCAACTTCCAGATGAACATGGGCCTGCAACACATGCTAACTTCAAGAAGTAAGACCTTCTACAACAAACTAATGCTTCAAGCAACTAAAATATCAATTGAATTACACAACAAAAGGTTCCTTTTCATGCATAGAAGTCTAGAACACATCCTTCTAGATTTCAGCAACTAACAGAATTTTGTAGAGCAGTAGAAGCAGAAAACAAACAATTGTGCTCGAGTGTAATAATAAGTCGTAACATAAACCTCCATTTATAACTATAGCTTCAAAACAACGGGGGCCATTAAATTCACTTGACCTCATGGTGCACCTAAGAACTTCGCTAAATATTAACAAAAAAGGGCCAGGACAAACATCACAGCGAATGCATCATTAAACAGTACATCCAACTAAGGACAAACAAGAAAAGGTGAAAGATGGACTCTTATAGTTCTTGTGTACATCACAAACAAACGTATAGCACAATTCCACATAGAAAATATGTTTTGCATCTACCTTACTGTGTCCTTATTTTCAAGATTGGGCAACAACCACCCGAAAGGCACTTAAAAAAGAGATATGCCTGAACAGAGGAGCATCAACAGTAGTAAAATAAAGCCCATCAGCTGAGAGATCCCCTTACAGGATTCTACTTGTACTCAAACGATGGTGGTGGTGTGCTAGGCACATCAAAAGTCTCTGGCATTTGTGGCTCCTTACAAGTCTCAGTCTTGTTGACTGGCATTGATCCAGCATCAGGTAATCTATTCATCATGATCCCAAAACTACTAACAAGGGCTAAGAGAACCGCGCCTTGCAGGGATGCACGAGCAACCGCACGTAAGCCCTGACGAGCAGCAAGAATGCCGCCGGTGGCCGCACCAGCAATGATGGAATTATAGGGGTCCTCCTTTTGACGCACAGAAACTAGGGCACAATCACAAGCTGAGAAGAGGCCACACCAAACAGCAAAGCCACCGGCAACACGTGGCGCATTCATCCGCACACCCTCCATGCCGCCAGCAAACCGTGCACCACTGGGCGAGTTGCGGAGACCCTTGACGAAGTGGAAGAAAGAACCTCCCACTGCACCCATGCCAAAAGACGCACCAATATCATCAAGGATGCGATCTGGGCATGGATCCCTTTCCATTGAAGGACGAGCCTGATGCATTGTAGTTAACCCGGATAGCTCCACCGGAGGAATCGATTGCTTGCTCGTCGACTCGTCGAGGACAAAGGAATCAATTGGAGAACGCGAGCGAACAACTCTCTAGGGCTCAAACCTACGCGCCGAAACACCAGAGAAGATATATAGCGCGACCAAATTGCTTCCTCGGATATAGGAAACTACTAACCTTCTTGCTGGACACGAGGTATAAATAAATAAATAAATAAATAAAAACAAATCAGAGACGGAACACGCGTATCCTTCCGCGGCACGAACACGAACTCCCTAAATCCGAGCCGAATCGAACAAAAATAAAGGAAACAAAACGCGAGGATATCGAATCGGATATGAATTGAAGATCGAAAACTTTCTTATGTCGCTCACCTTCTTCTTCACTTGTACTCGAAGGTTGGGATCGGAGTGCTCGGCGTGTCGAAGCTCTCCAACATCTCCGACTTGCCGCCGCTCGGGCTCGCCTTCTTCTCCTCCTCCTTCTTGCCGAACAGGCTCCCGAACCATCCACTCCCACCGCCGCTGGAGCTCGCGACCTCAGGTGGCGCCACGGGGACCTGCGGGATCCCGGGGATCCCGCCGCCGCCGCCCATGACGGCGGGGAGGTTGGGGTCATCGACGGGGAGCGGCGGGGGCGTGGCGAGGACGCGGTTGAGCATGAGGCCCGCGCCCTCGATGAGGGCGAGCAGCATCCCGCCCATGAGCGCGGAGCGGCCGGCGGCGCCGGGGCCCTGGCGCATGGAGAGGAAGCCGCCGGTGGCGGCGCCGGCGATGATGGAGTTCCAGGGGTCCTCCTTCTGGCGCATGAAGACCATGGTGCAGTCGAAGGCGGAGAAGAGGCCGCCCCACACCGCGAAGCTGCCGCCGACGCGGGGCGCGTTCATCCGCACCGCCTGCGCGCCGCCGACGAGGCGCTCGCCGTTGGGGGAGTTGTAGGTGCCCTTGAGGAAGTGGAAGAGGGAGCCCCCCACCGCGCCCATCCCGAACGCCCCGCCCACGTCGTCCAGGATCCGGTCCGGGCACGGCTCCCTCGACGTCTCCGGCGTCCCCATGGCAACTCCGGCTAGTCGGCGGCGGCGGCGGCGAAACCCTAGCTCGGGGAGGAGAAATGGGAGGAGGAGGGCTTCGTCAAAGCGAGCTTGGATTTCTCCTTCTCTCACTCTTCTCTCGTGTCTTTATTTATTCGGTGCGTGTCGGAGGCGGCTTCTCTCGCTGCGAGTGGGCCCCGATGATTGGTGGGGCCCACTGTCATAGACACGTTCCCGGTTCCCCGCGAGGTGGAGGCGGTGGTGCGGCCGAACGGTGGGAGATATTTTCGGCGGCCGGCGCGCGCGTGAGAGGCCTCTGGATGTAGGCCCAGGTACGGAATTCAGCCCAACTTCAGAGTTAGAGCGCTAATTTCAGCCCAAATAGAGAGCGAATAGCATCAGTTTCAGCCCAAGGTTGAGTGAGCGAGATTTGAGCCCACTAAGCTATGTAGGTGAAGCCCTACTGGATATCGATGTCTGAATCGTGCAAAGTGAAAACGGGAAATGCTGGATATCCATGATTCAATTAAAACTACTCAGATCTGAGTTGGAAGTGCCATGTGATCGATCATTACTTCACGGCATCACGGCGAGCTGGATGACCTGCCATATGACCAGCAAGCTTATCAAGTTATCATCCCATTTCAGAATGTTCCGACCTTGTTTAGTTCCTAATTTTTTTTCCCAAAAACATCTCATCGAATTTTTGAAGTATTACATATAGATAAAATGAAAAACTAATTGCACAGTTTGTATGGAAATCGCGAGACAAATCTTTTGAGCCTAATTAGTCCATAATTAGATATAAGTGCTACGGTAACCCGCATGTGCTAAAGACGGATTAATTAGGCTTAATAAAATCGTCTCGTGGTTTCCAAGTGAGTTATGAAATTATTTTTTTTTCATTCGTGTCCAAAAACCCCTTCCTACATCTGGTTAAACGTCTGATGTGACACTCAAAAATTTTCTTTTCGCTAACTAAACAAGGCCTCAAAACCGGAATTCACACCCACCCACAATCATCTCCTCCTAGAAACAATTCAGTCAGTCAGATTCACCGCGGTCAACTCATCACGTCAGTTAAAACCAGGCAAAATATCGCCTGCGACCTCGGGGTAATTTGGTGTAGCAAGTTATTAAGGGACACGTTATATTTGATATTATGCTTCAAGTACATGATTTAAACTCGACATAAATATGGGTAGCCTAAAATGAACTTATTCCTTTTAGGCGCGCGTGTGTTCATGCTCGCTGTTGGACTTGTAATCTGTCTGAACTCTGGATGCCCCCATGCTCAATTAATCAGCTCTGAGTTGGAAGTACTCTATCAGAGCATCACTGACATGCTTCTAAGATACCTTGCTGTATCATACTACCACCTCCATCTTTTTATATATGACAATGGATAGCCTAAATTTGAACTAGTCATCATATAAAAATAAACTGGAGGGAGTATTTGATAACCCTGCTATATGTAGGGCTCTTGTAGAGGAGATTTTGCATGCATGGGATTAACAGGGAACGACAGAGGAAAAAAAAACATTTTCTTTGATGAAGTATATATGTGGTCTAAAGTTTACAGCTTTTCTGGGCACATGTTCGTTGTTGTTATCGTCACGTATCGTCGTATCGATCCCATGTATGGACGACGGATCATTCCATCACGGCGAGCTGGACGATCGACCTGCCATATATCCATATGATCAGCAAGCTTATCAAGTTATCATTCCATTTCAGATTGTTCAAAACCGGAATTCACTCCCCCCACAGATTCAGAAATCAACCATCACAATCATCATCTCCTCCCAGAAACAATCAAATAATCAGAGTCAAGTCTCTGGAAAATTAAGGAACTCACAAGTTGCCTCCAAAGAATTACAGTTTTTCGACGATCCAAACGTCATCGCTACATCGTCTGAAACCTGAACCCAAACCACAACATGCAGAGGAGTACAAAAATGACGCAAATTGAACTCTCTTCTAACGGAAGCATCCTAGCTAGCTAAGCATGCACCTAGACACAGTGCAGCATGAAGAGGGTTGACCGGGTCGGGTTTGACTTGGGAAAAATTAAACTAGACTTTGACAGGGATATATGGATCAATGGAAGCTGCGAAAACAGCAGGCAGCTCATGGTTTCGAGCTCGAACGATTCGCAGAGAGCGAGCAGAGGCAAAAACTCTTGTCAGCCCACAGGAAAATTTGCTGCCATGCCGGCGTGCGTATATATATCGCATGCAAGCTGGTTTGCATGGCATTGTGCAGTGAACAAGAACAAGGACAAGAACAAGCTAGCCGGTCGAGATCAGTTTCAGTTTCAGGCTTAGCTAGCACAGCAACAGCAGCGTCGATCGATATGGGCCGTTGGTTGAAGCCAGATGTACGTGTGCCGATCGATGTGATATATATGTGATTCTTCTTGTTGATTGATTCGATCGATCGTAGATGGTGTATATGATACAGGATCAGTGAAAGTTTCAGGGTTGTTTTTTTTAGTTTGGAGGTAATTAATAATGTTTTTGTTGTTGTTTGTCTGGTTGATTTTGTTGCAGGTTTACCCGCTGATCGCCGCCATGACCTTCGTCACGGGGCTGTGCACCTTCCAGCTCACAAGGAACGTGTTCATGAACCCGGACGTCAGGTATATATCTCTCCACACTTCTTCCTCTGTTAAAAAGAAAAAACAAACCAACGAATTTAGATAAGTGTATGTTCAGATTCATCCGTAAAAAACATTGTTTAGACAGAAGTTGTTATTTCTTTTTAATTAATAATGAAAGTGAAACTTTCAACCTCGCTTTATATATGTTTTTTTTAAAAAAGAACTAACGGCTTTATTAGATATTAAAAACCGGAGAGAGCATATATTTGTATCGTAAGGCAGTAAAATAACTTGGAAATTAATATGATCTATAGGGTGAACAAGAACAACCGTAAAAGTGCGGTGCTGGAGAACGCGGAGGAGGGTGAGAAGTACCACCAGCACGCGTTCCGGCGATTCCTCGCCACGCAGCGGCCGGAGGTCTTCCCGGCGCTCAACCGCTTCTTCGCCGGCCCGGCGACGGTGGCGAGAAGTGATCGCCACGACTGATCAATCGACGACGACGAAGACGAAGACGATGATCTCGATCACCTACGTGTTGGCTAATCAATGTATCCACCAATTGTAAGAGTATGGTGTACGAGTACGTGTGTAGTAGTGTATGTGCGTGTGTATCTTATCTTCTTTTATGTAATCGGAAAGATAAAAAAATGGAAATGAGAAGTTAATGCGGGCGGGTGTTTACACGTAGTACTAGGGGTATTGGATGTTTGGGGCGTGTACTGTACATTTGGGCCAAAATGTGAGTCCAGATCACACACATTTTGGGCCGGATGAGATGGCTTTGGCACTGCACAATTGGGCCTTGGGTTAACGTTACGCCAGTGATGGCAGTTTCAGCCCAAATTAGTTCTCGCAAAATATTTTGAGCCCACTACACAATCTATTTGCAGGTGCAAGCCTATTGGAAATTTCTGAATAAAAAATATTCAGACGCGTGTTCATAATTTCACACTCGTTTGATGCCTCCATATGCTCAATTAAATTACTGGTGCACATGGCTGTCCACCTGGACAGGAGCAGCTCTGAGTTGGAAATGCCCTGTCACTCACTTACTCACATCTTGTATATATTTATCATAATCTATTTTATCGCCCTACGTGTCTAGCTACTGTGCATGAAATTTTACATGCATGCATGGGGTTAAAGCAGGCACGACAAAGGGGAAAAACATTTTCTTTAATTTGATGATAAATTATAGAGTCCCAGTTTATTTTTTTTCTCTTTAAAAGATAAACAACATGCACGTGTTCTCATCAGATGTAATTGTCACGTATGACGTATCGCTGGCGATGGAGCTGGGATGAGCTGCGGCACGATCAGCTAGCTTATCATTCCATATCAGAATGTTCAAAACCAGATTTTAGTCCCACAGATTCAGTAATCTTACCGTCTCGGTCCAGTTGATCGATCTCATCCATCCATGTATGAAAAGAACAAGAAATTAAGCAAGAATCAACAAAGTCAAGTCTCTGGGAATTAGTTACTCGATCTCTCTCTGTTTCATATTATAAACCGTTTAAATTTTTTCTAACCAAAGTACTTCGACTAAATTTATATGAAAAACTTAGCAGTATTTATGATACCAAATTAGTTTCATTAAAATTAACATTTAATATATTTTGATAATATGTTTGTTTTGTATTGCAAATATTGTTATATTTTTCTATGAATCTAATCAAATTTAAGAAAAAGATCGGACGACTTATAGCATGAAACGAAGCTATAAAACGAAGTGAGCTAATTACCGGTCTCGGACGATCGAAATTATTAACTTGCGTCCTCCATCCTCGTAGCCAGCGTTGACCGGGCCCGTGGCGGTCAGCAGCCGGGCGGATTGAAGAGAGGGAGAAGTGGGTTGACCTGTAAAACTAAGCTTTGACAACGACGCTGCGAGCTAGCAAAACAGCAGGCGGCTCATGGTTTTCGAGCTCCAAACAGCTCGAGCTTAGCTACACGGCGCAACTAATTGGAGAGGGAAAAGCACAGGGAATCCCGTGCCATTTCGGCGTGTGAGTATATATACCATGCGCAGGCAGATGTGCATGGCATTGTGCATCGAGTTCCAGCCCAGATTTCTTCAGTTTCAAGGCTTCGATCTATCGGATCATTCGTTGCAGTCCTAGCAAGAAACAAAAACAGCAGCAGCGTCAGGCAGACGAGGATCATCCATCGATCGACATGGGCCGTTGGGTGAAGCCAGATGTACGTATCAATTATTCGATGATATATACTCCCTCCATCTTTAAATGTTTGACGCCGTTAATTTTTTAAACATGTTTGATCGTTCGTCTTATTTAAAAAATTTAAGTAATCATTAATTTTTTTCTTATCATTTGTTTCATCGATAAATATACTTTTATGTGTACATATAGTTTTACATATTTTACAAAAGTTTTTGGATAAGATGGATGATCAAACATATTTAAAAAAATTAACGTTGTCAAATATTTAGAGACGAAGGGAGTAACTAATTACATACATTTCCTCTTGATTAACTATTCGATTTGTAGATAGACAGATGCAGCAGAATCAAAGGGTGTTAGTTTTAAAGTTTGATACGATGTTTTTTTTTTTTTGATGATGCAGGTATACCCGCTGATCGTGGCGATGTCTCTGGTGGGAGGGATGTGCGTGTTCCAGCTGACGAGGAACGTGTTCATGAACCCGGACGTGAGGGTGAACAAGAGCCACCGCCAGAGCGCCGTGCTGGAGAACGCCGACGAGGGGGAGAAGTATCACCACCACGCCTTCCGCCGATTCCTCGGCACGCAGCGCCCCGAGGTCTTCCCGGCGATCAACCGCTTCTTCGCCGGCCCGGCCACCGTCCCCAAGAGTGACCGTCAAAACTGATCCTCCAAATGCTTATTAGCCGCTATATAGTAATGTACTCCTATATTAATTATAGCCAAATGAGAGGCTGATTATAGTGCTATACACGGGTACTTTAATTACTGAGTTTTGTTACTGGATATGTGTCGCATACGTGCGAACTTAATCGTATCTGAATAAAATGAGATAAAAATGAAGAAATGGCACCTACTCCACTACTCCAATTTTGTATTTTGCGTTTTGCAAATTATCGTGGTGCTTTGGTGAAAATGGCATATCTCTTTCTTTCGTGGATGAGCAATCGGTTCAAAATAACAAGTGGTTAGTTTGTGTATGATATTCCGAAGCTTCCCTTGAAAGCTCAGATCAGCAGGCAATGTTTGTGAGCTGTGACAACTAACGAACGTAACCGTTTACCGGCATATTAATATTCTAGTTGTCCCAGTCTGTAAAGAATCGTACTGAATTGGTCACAGCTGGATGATGCTGATGGAGATCATCCTGCATAAGTGAAACTTGCGCTACCGTTTTGTTCTAGGGTTAATTAGATCCTTGCTATTACAAATATGTTATTTCAAATAAATATTATTATAATTTATTTATTCGCAACCGTGCCATTAAAATTTTACAAAATGAGGAAGAAGACTAGAAAAGGAGGTTGACGAAAAATATGATGACAGTAACACGGTTTCAAATTTATAAAATGACAGTGACACGGTTACGAATAGACGAATTGTAATAACAATTATCTGAAATAGCATATTTGTAATAGCATGGATTGAATTAACCCGTTATTTTACAAAAGTCTGCAAAAAAAATCCTTGAGGTTTATAGCTTGATTCAATATTTAGTTTTTTTTCTCAAGCTTAATTAGGCGACAACCTATTTTCATTTTATCGGCTAACCAATAGCTGGGAAATTCTCAAAAAAAAAAAAAGAAGAAGCTGGGAAACCTTCTCGGACCCAGGCCCAGGCAACCTGGACCATGGCCCGAGCCCTGGGATGCAAGGCCCATTAATGACTTTAATTTTCGCCGTGTGAACATATGTTGGGCCAAAACTTCAGCGGGGCTGGGCCTTGGCCTATTTTTGGGTCCAACGACTCTATGAAGTTTTTTTTAGAACACTCTATGAAGTATCTAAATTACAATTGGAGTCTGAACTTGCTTCATCCAGTCTACATTCTGAACTGTGCAAAATTCCAGGATCACAATTGGAGAGCCATTTCCGCTGTAAATTCGAAAGAAATAAATCAACTCGATTGCATTCCAACTGGGACAAAAACTATGTATGCAGATGCTCACCTACAACTGAAAACATGAACAAGCTTAAATCAGGCGTTGTCTGGTACAAATCTGGGCCTGAAAATCCACCTAGAGATGGCGTTGGTCGTAGCACTGTCGGATGATTTAGGGGCAGTTCAGTTTCGGAGAAGTGATGTAAAAATTCTCATCACCTGAGTACTGACGAGTGACGACGAGGTTCAGTCTGTTTGGTTGTTCAGTTTCAGATAAATGCTGATTTGCTGCCGCGACGACATAGCACTACGTGCTTGCAGCGTGAGGTGAGATCACTATATCAAGCTGGCTGTTCATTCTTGTGAAAACTGTGCAGCATTTGTGTACAATCACTGCCATTTCTCCATGATTTCAAGTAGGAGAGGACAGTCATCGTGCATTCGTCGTCAGAACCACAAACAGAAGCTTAGTCAGTACAATCACTGTTGCTATGTAAACTGAAGATTCTCAATTATGTAGCATTGTAGGTACTAGATCAGTAGATGATTGCCATTACTCCCGACAAGTCCTTGATGTAAGCTGTTACTAGGTCAGTATATACAGATCACCAAATCACAATGCTAATTTCCATTTCAACGTTTCTTCTACTTGAATTATTCATCATCTTACATCAAAAGGTAAAGCTTTTGTGTGTTCGTGAAAAGAAAATACTTTGTCGGTGTAAGTACAGTGCGGACTGCAAGAGGCAGAGCACCGGCGATCGATCACCGGCCGACGTGCGAGGCAGGCAAAGAGACGAGCATCTCGAGAGAATCACAATGTCGTGTGTCTCGTCAACTCATTATTGTATCTGTATAAACACTCAAAAGTCTCCTCTGTATACCTTGGATCTCTAAAAAGTTTCATTTTCATTCCTTGGGATGAAGAAATGGCAGCTATAACATATCCAGATTCATTGTATTAGGAGATGTCGCATCCTTATCTAGGTTGTGCTTTTTTTTGAGACAGAGGGAATATTCCACTACTTTCGTCAAAAAGGGTTAAATCCTGACTATGCATCTGGACAAACATTTATCTAGATTTATAGTCAAGATTTGCGGAGCCATCATTTGGCTTATTCGCGGAATAAGAGAAATGGCATATTTACAAACGAAAAGTAATTTGTGAATAAAATTTTATATACGTGTTCTTAGCGATATAAAAGCAAAGTCTGAAAAATAAACTTCGATAAAAAAACCTCAAAATCACCTCTAAATTTAAAATTGAAAATTCAAATTTTAGCTGATAAGTATAAGCATAAGCGAGAAAAGATGAAGCCCTTGATTTTTTTTTATGGACGGAAGAAGTAGTACTGAAAATGAAAGACGCTCATTGCTCACCCTGGATATAAACTAACTAAAATTACCGATTTGATCAGGTAAGTACTCTGTCAGCATTGATCTTTTTCTTTCTTTATTTTCAAAAAAGGCGATTAGTTGATGTACTAGTACTAATGCGTACGTTCTAGCAGCCATCATTTTCTGTTAGGCATTGATATGTTACCGGTTTTGTTTTCCTTGCAGCTCACATGGAGAGAGGAGACCATCCATATAAGCTGAAACGTACGTCCTTTCTTTCGTACGAGCGTGACAGATGATCACACCATCTACTCCTATATTGCAGGCATCAAAATTCACTAGCTTTAATTGAAACAAATTGTTTGCTTCAGTGCTTCACACTTTATGTTCTTTTTTTTTTAAAAAAAACTTTATTCTACTGTATATTATTTAGACCATTGATTTTAATTTTATTTTCAAAATATTCAATTCATCTTTACAATTAAGTAAATAATAGTATGGTGATGTGCGTGTAGCTGTAGCTAAGGTCCATGGCGTACGATGTGGAAAGGCGTATTTGCGTGTGTAATCTTCAAGTAATCGCGCGCAGCTCGTACTCAAAGACGTTTTTCTGACTGGTTTTGGTGTCTCTAGCACGCATTCTAGAGTGGCAAAAGGGCCGTTAGAACTTAGAACTTAGAACGACTGGCTGTCCGTCCAAGAGGGTAAACGAAATGATATAAAAATTGAAGGAAGAGTATATCACAAATTTGCAGCATTTTTTTCTTGGCTAACATTTGATCATGCGACCATATATCGTGGCTAACTTTTTAAGCCACGTAAAAGCAAGCAGTTGTCATTGCAATCTAACAAGTATAATGACTCTCAAAATAATAGCCTAGATGTATTGTATTTGTTTGTTTATAATAATAAAATAACCTCTTGATTTGAAACCGAAAAATATAATGATTGTAAAAACTAACTGCATAAAAACTGTTGTAACATAGTTTCCCGAGTGATCGGACTAATCAAACATATTTGATTGTCTGCGGTGATGAACAACGCAAAACGTACTTATGACCAATAACCTAGCAATTATGCTTATAATGAGAACAAACAAAATAAGTTGAAATGTTGAATCATACGTACGCAACAATGTTATTGACCAAAATGCACTTAATTGCCAAGTTCATGTACCGGTCTGCATATTTTTCAATTTGTTACACTAAATCACATCCACCTGCCAAGTTCCTACACTACGTATTAATTTACTCTTTTTGAAAACATGAAACAAATAATCTATTCCATTAATCCGATAAATAAATAAGTTGAAAAGAACATCGCCGTTACTAGGGATGAAAACGGACGGAAATTCCCGATCGACCGGGCGCCGTTTCCGTTTAAGGGGTACAGTTTCCGACTGTACCGTTTTTGGCTATTTTTAAATTTTGTTTTTTCTAATTTCTTTCTACATCGTATTAATGTCGATACTGAGTAGTTTAAATGATAGATATGGTCAATTACCGGCTGATCGAGCATCGTTTCCGAAGAGATTCTACCGATTTCGACCCTTTTTACCCGTAGCCGTTACCATATCTTCCCCTCTTGAGCCAACCATCCCAGATGTTGTTGGTAGGCACCATGTCCATGGCCATGCAAATCAGTCCATGCCCCAGTAGTAGTGATAATAAGTCAAGCAAAGCACCAACTCCAACAACGGACCACCCACACTCACACTCACACTCACACAGCTCCCTTCCCTTCCTGTACACGCAAAGCCCAACAAAAAAGAGGCCCACCACGGCCCATCCGGCCCACCCCCTCGTCTCCCTCCCTTTTATACCCGCCTCGTCTCGCCTCACTCCCCCCGACCTCCACCTCCACCTCCACCTCTACCTCCTCCTCCGCCACCGGCAATGGCTTCCTCCGACGCCGCGGCCGCGCAGGCGGCGACGCCGCTGCTGAAGGACGAGCTGGACATCGTGATCCCGACGATCCGCAACCTGGACTTCCTGGAGATGTGGAGGCCCTTCTTCCAGCCGTACCACCTCATCATCGTCCAGGACGGCGACCCCAAGAAGACGATCCGGGTGCCCGAGGGCTTCGACTACGAGCTCTACAACCGCGACGACATCAACCGGATCCTCGGCCCCAGGGCCTCCTGCATCTCCTTCAAGGACTCCGCCTGCCGCTGCTTCGGCTACATGGTCTCCAAGAAGAAGTACATCTACACCATCGACGACGACTGCTTCGTGAGCTTCTTTCCCCCTTCCACCCCTCGATTAACTTCGCCTCAGTGAGATCTGTCTCTGTTAAGGTTTGATCTGCTGGTTGATGGCCGCTGGATCTTGGGCGATCTTTCTCCACTGCCATGGCGTGATCTGTGTGCGGGGATTTTAGATCTTGGTTTGGTGGGGATCGGATCTGGATGTGTAGTTTTAGTGGGGGAAAGGCGAGATCTCTGGGCTGTTTCTTCGTCAGCAATCGGCATTGCCCCGTAGTTAGATTTTTGAGTTTAGCTTCAGTTTTGCGAGATTAGTAGTTCTTTTTGTTAGGACAGTTTAGTTTAGTAGTGATAAAAAAACCCTTTAATTTTTGCATTACATCATACTACTACTATTACTACTGCATAGTGCTGTGATGTGGGTAGGTTGAATGTGAATTT